ACTGGCTCCGCCTCTTCGCCAACTTAAGGACCCGCCAATCCATGCACCTAGCCGCCAGCGCCGAGTGATGACGTCACTCGAACGGGCGACGGCATGAATAGTTCCACACTTAGGAAACTCGCTACCCGGCCGCATGTTCGGCCTCAGATGCCGATGTCCCGGGCTCGCGCCGCCCGTTGCCAGGCTGGCGGACGGCGTCGGGGACGCGGCTGGCGGTCCGGCCCCCGACCGCGGTCCACCGGGACGCTCCTCAGGTCCGCGGCACGGCGCTCGTGTGGAGACGACAGACGGACAGACAGGCCTGTGTCCCAGTCTGGTCAGACGACCCGTCGATCGGCGCCGGTGGCGTCATCCGGCCTCCAGCTCCGCAGAGCGTCATCACTCTGCGGGGCGTCATCGCCACGGGCGGCCTATCGACACGGTTACCGCTGCGGGTGTCATCGGCCCCATCACTGCCACACGGCGTCATCCATGCAGAATGGCATCACCCCCTGTCAGCGGCGTCATCACTGACGCCGGGTACCATCAGTTGGTACAGCGCTATCTCCTCAACGCCACGTCATCACATCGTACCGCACGTGCCTGAGGGCTGCAACTGTCCCCCATGGATAGACTCGCCTAAGGGCTGCCACTGTCCGCGTGAATAGACTCGCCTCTACCATCGCTGCACCGTCTTGCCAATGACCGAGGTAAATCACTATCTGCCCGGCCGATTTGATACATCCTGGGTACGATGAAAAACGTCAGTGTAGAGCCATTTAACACCGTCAACATAGTTCCACTGCGTGGGCGATGTGACAGCTTTGAAACACTGCAGGAGTCGGCCACAGGAAGCTATTAGCATATCCCCATCCATCACTCGCCAAATTCGCTCTTTGATCCGCAAGGGTATCGCTTTCGGCTGCTTATTTTAGTTGCGTCGTGTATTGTTGATGTTTTGTGGTGACTGCTCGAATAGTGACCAATTTATTCGAATATAGATGCTGTCGGCTGTCGTGACGGCGCTGGCAGCTCTGTCCGCTCACATCCGGAGATTGGTCAAACAGGAGTCCCGCTGGCGGGGGACCAGGGCCATTTGTCTCTGGCATCACAAGGAGCGTCACTATTCGTGGCAGCACCGGCCCACCAGAGTAACATCGCGCCTCAGAAATAGCCGTATCTGCGTCACTGTTCGTCCTCGCTGCGTATTTTTAGCCGCCAACGGTCCTGGCTGACATAAGCTGAGTGCGATGGGTCTACGGGACCGCTGCGTGCCTGTCATCGTAACTCGTCGTTCTCGGCTCGTGGTTCGTCGTTTATAGCTCAGCTCGTCGACCGTCGCTGCCGATTTCCCCAAGCCGGCCGTCGGTATTGAAATGACCGATGGCGGGGATCCCTGTCGGTTGACAAGAGACGATAACATTGACTGTAAGAACAGCGGCGGATTCGACGGCGGAATCTCGCGGACAGAAGCGTTGACGGTGGCTGTCGTCTTTGGGTATTGTATGTAGGTGTGCCTGAAAGTGGCCGCCCTGCGGCTTGTCACGCATTACACAACCGCCGAGACCTACACAGCTGGCTCAGTTTTTAGTGGGCCCAGAGCGACTGCCATGGCTCATTTGGGAGACCGGTTTGAGTTTTCGATGTAGGCTAGGAACATGGGCGTTTATGCTTCTGGGTAGGCGGGAAAATTGTTGTTTGATTGAAATTGTCCTCTTGGTGATAAGCACGAAACCTGATCGGGATTTTTAGCTGATGGCTTGCACATTGCGGTTTTGAGTAGGTTTATCATATGCTAAGTGCGGTTAACGAGTCTGTGGGACATGCTGCTATCACCGGCTGGCCGCAACGCCGTTTTTGCCTGACAGACTAGTCGCACATGCACGACGGCCGCAAGATAACTAATAGTACATCGGTTTTACGGCCGTTCGGCAATAAAACGCTGACAAAGTACTATGGGACGTATAAATTGACTGCAGATAGTTACTGCAACCAGACACGGACATGGTAAAATCCTTATCGCGGCAGTACAAATGCGGTAATGACCTGGCACCCACCGGCCTGAAGAGGCAGGGGTAGGGCCGAGAGACATGTCTCCTATTTCAGGGACCCGTATCAGGTTACCTCGAAACCCTGCAGTCAACCGACTTGGCTTTGCTTTCTCTCCAAGCACGAAAGATCGGTCAGTTGCCCGACCAATTCAGACTGCCTTACCGAATCGAGAGCGCTCTATCGGATAGCCATTTGACGGGAAGTGTGAACAATCCTGATGGTATAGTGTGATCGCAGTTTCCGAGGGGATGAGTCAGTATCTGATGTGGCACGACCAAATACTCCGCCACACCGTCGGGGGTCGGGGTCGCGGTCAACCACAGCCCAGGGACGCTGAGTCAGTTTTGCCCTGGATCTGTATACAAACGCCCCATTCGGAGCTCAAACCGAGCTGTGTCACTGATCGGACGAGTCGAACAGCGCTTCTGGCGCCGGAGCTCTGACAGAATCTCTGTCCGATGTCCGAAGAACCGACGGCGGGGCGGGACCGTGTCACAGCGGCGGACAGAGCTGTCTCCGTGATGGGATAGTGGTGGTGCGTCATCCTGCCGGACTCTGCATGGCTGGAGGATACTGGAAGGGATCGGATACCAGGCAGGTGCCGAACGAATACCGACTGGATACCGTCTGGATATCCGTCGGATACCGAGCACCGAGAACTGAGCACTGAGCGGATACCGTGCAGATACCGAACAGCAATCGAATACCGAGCAGACACCGAGCACCTGCACCGCGACCAGCGACCGTCACGGTCTCTGCGGTGCATCCTGTTCGCAGCTCACTCGGGCCACTGAATTCCCAGCGGCGCCGGCGCCTCGTCTCGGACGGCACGCTGCACGGACTCGTGACCCCCGCAGGCCGGTGGCGACGACCCATCAGTTGATGCATTCACTCCTCACGGTCGCCGCCATCCTGAAGGATCGGACAGGGGCCGGCCCCGGCGCGGCGGCTGCCGACGCGTGGCACCGTTTCATTTAGGAATTTACAGCCCGTATCGATACCAGCTCTGGTATCAATACGGGCTGTAAATCCAGACGGAGCCGGCTCCGAGGAGTGAGGGCTGGTGGTATGGCTCTGGCAGAAGGGGTTGGAATAGGGACTGGAATAGCATAGAGAGTAGATGGAAGGAATACAGAAAAAAATGACACAGAGACGCAAAAGAATCTACTAAAGAGGTGTATTTTCAGTGCTCTACATGACGAGTCCTCAGATTGTGATGAAAAGAAACTTTGTTGTGATTGTGTTGAAAGGAAACTTCATTGTATTTCCATTTCAAGAAGATGCTACTTCACTCAAGCGGAAAGTCAAAATGAAACGGTTTTACTGCTTTTGCTTTAAGCAAGGCATTGGTTTTGTCACTGTTGTCCTTTGTTTCATGGAAAAGGCTGGAGGATGCTTAGGGGATTTGTGAATGTTGCGGTGTGGTAGCTTCACGTCTTCATCAGGTCCCAAAAGCTTTCTTGCACATAATGAAAACAAAGTTCTTTTTACAGTGTTTTTGCAGGGCATAAATAGCAGTTTCACCCTTTCAACATGACTGCACCAATGCTATTTTTAAAAGCCATCGCTGGATTAGGTAGCGCTAATGGGCTGTAATTACGATCTAACATGCAACAGAAGCCGCAAGTCACTTGTCAATGTTCCTTTTTGCCGCTAGCTAGTGAGATTGCCATTAATAAATTCACCCGTTTTGGCCAGTAGCGGCCAATCATGCATTTTTATCTAATATTTCTGCAAAAGCTGTTTGAAGCGCTTACAGCCAAACAACAATTCCAGCGATGCTGATACTGTGAAGTTCATCCATCTTTTATCATGCACCGAAGCAATTATAATGCAAGACAGTCCTGTTTATATCCAGGTGTGCGGCATGCTTAGCAGCGGCAGAGTGGTATCGTGCTGAGTAGCAGAATCCAGGATGTTTTCTGACATGACCGGTTTATGGAGATTTATAATTGAAACGGTTCAGATCCTCAAGGACGGCTTTTGGTAGTTCCGTGTCACCCAGTTAACACGCTGTTTGATGTTGACCGTGTCTGGCATGACAAATGCTCTGAAAATTGGTAATGAAGTGAATAATTGTTGCCTTCATGCCCGTGCACTTCTAAAACTTAACTGGCTTTCTTTCATCTCCTATCTTCTCTCCGTCCCGTAGCCTTCTCCGCTGGGTTGCCTCGTGACTGCGACATTTTCAACTAACTCAAGTTACATCTTCGTTCCTTCCCGTGACATCTCCGCCCACTCTTTGCCACGGCCTGTCGAGCTTCCCCACATCATCTTCAGTCTTCACCCATCCCCTCAATGGCATCTCCACCCCTCCCTGCAGTGCAGTGGCATCTAGTGAGGTCCGCACTCCTACCAGGCACCGCGTCTCAGCCCGGCCGGCCTTGCCTTGACAAGGCCGCTGGAGCTTAGCAAGAGAGGCGCCCGGACGACCTCGCCAGGGTCGTCAGAGGCCGGAGCCTGTGCAGTTGTCATGCGCCTCAGCGGCCGGTCCGGGATTCCCGCCACATTCCTGGCACGTGCTTGACCGCTGTCTGACCCGGCCCGGAACACCGGTGAGCTCAGGGTGCTCCGGTGACGCGGATCCGTGAGCTGGTTAGCAGAGTTACCAGATATGTGGCGCTGCTGATGTGGCCGACTGGTGTTGCAGGGAAAGGATCGGCAATTTGCAGCCGGTGTTGGGTGAACAATCGTTGTGCCGTGTAGCTTCGCCTATTGACAGTGAGCCGTGTTGTGTAGGTGAGCTGTCCTGACATTGTACCCGTGTATTTCCTGACAGTCTGCCGTGTCTTGGGACTGACGTATCCTGACAGTCTGTCTGAAGTCTGCTGACAGTGTGTCCTCAGATGTCCCCTGTCTGGCCGTGCCCTGACAGCCACCACGCCGACCTACTGTCGGATATTTGTGCCCTGTCTCCTAGCCCCTGTCTACATACGCTCAGTCATCACCCTCGCGTCTCTCTGTTTCAGCTCCCGATCCAGGCGGACAGTGAAGCGGCCGCTCCTCCGCGCCGGTGTACCCCAAACTGCGACGAGGCGCAGCCGCGGCCCGTTTGTGGTACCGACGGCGTCACCTATCCGTCGCGGTGTCACCTGGGTCTGACCGCCTGCCGCGGCGCAGCCGTTCAGCTTCAGCACATCGGCAACTGCGTCTCCAGCAGCACAGGTCAGTCATGGGGCGCTGCGGCCTTCAGTGATGGCCAGTCCCCGGCTGGGAGGCTCGCGAAACGCCCCAAAGCGCTCAGTGTTATAAGGAAATGTGTGAGAGGGCACTGGGAACTTGATTGGTCGCCAATGACGGAATGGGGGAGTATAGGGAGGCTTGGTAACATCTTATTGGTACCCTTTGTCTCTAATTTTGAGATGACTGATACAGCTCCCGGGAGGGGCGAGGCTAGCGACGGAAGATATGTATCTTAATGTCAGATATGATCGGCTGACTTGAATTAAACTCACCACAGGCTGAATGAAATTCTGATATAACCGCTGTGTAGTGTGTATCTCTGGCAACCACCGGGGACCGGGCAGAGAGATATCCCAACCCGTCAAACGGCCGCTCCGCAGGTGGTCGCTGTCGACACGCAACTGTGATACTCGCGCGATACAGGTGGCTGGACACTGGTCATGAATGATGCAGCTCCCGCAGACACCTCAAAGACTGAGAGGAATGTGCCAGGAACGCGCGGCGCGGCGGCGACGGCAGTCACCAGCGCGGACCGTCGCCAGCGTAGAACCCGGGTCGGCGCACTGCGACCCACTGAGTTGCAGCACTGTGACACCGACTGTCCGAGTTGCGGCACTGAGAGATTTCAGCAGCAGCTCACGACAGCCATGCCACGAGCGGCACTCGTGACGCGCTGACCCGGAGCCGACCGCATCTCAAGCAGCGGCAACGGCTCTACGCTGAAGCGGCACCGGTTTTCAGAAGATCTGCCGGCTGAGGTGTCGGCGCTCTGACACTATCGCCCAGATCCCTGGTCATGCGCGCCGTGTTAACACTGACTTTGATGCGTGTTGAAGGCTGATGTTTCATGTTTGCATAAGCACTTACGTTTCGCCAGGCATGCGTGCATACTGTTTTGGCGAGTGATGGATCGGCGGCTATTCTCGCCCGTCTGGGGTTGACGAATATCCGAGGTCTCCGCGGGTTAGGGATGACTCTCTGCCTGTGTTACAGGGGACAGTGCGTGCCTGAGGAAGCGGGCCGAGGCCCTGGAGGGTCACCCCGGCGGCTCGCTGCCTCAGAACATCTACGTGCCACAGTGCACCGCCGAGGGCCTGTACGCTGAGGTCCAGTGCCACCGCGGCTCAGGTAGGTCATCATCCGTGCTCCCTCACCGCAGGCGAAACTAACTCAACTGGGACACACAGCACGGTTTAAAAATACACATAAGATATTTCCGTGAGGTGTCCACTTATCTTCAAATAACATTAGCTGTTTTCAAAAACAGTCGTAACAGGCGTCGCGACTGTTTGTTTCTGTTGTAACCCATCTCATGATTTAAAGATGGCGACTGTCTTTGGCCAGTGTCTCCGGAGCTATTAATTAAGGGCGATCCATCAGGGCACCTAATAGGCTCTGATGTACATCTACAAACATCGTGGGGCTCTGGAATGTGTCTTATCAAAAAAATCTGGAACGTAATTGTCGTGTAGACGAGTTTTTTGTCTGTCCAGGCACTTCATGAGGTTGACGGTGCATAGGGCGTTTAATTCATCGGGAAGAGTGACCGCCAGTGATGGGATGATTACAAATATCATAGATATGTAATGTTATTAAATCCCTATGTCAAGGATGTAATGAATGTCCGTACCTAAATACTTTTCTCACCAATTGCATACATTATATAGTTTCGAAGGAAGGTATACCTCATAACACTGTTTGGAGCCTGGAGGTCTGTTAGGGATCATTTGATTCGGCTGAACCTCACTTGTAATGAACAAGATTCGAGTGTCCCGTAAAGCGTTTGCGAAACGATCGATATGTTAAATATGTTGGGTACCTATCGTTGCAAATCGTGGGATGTTTCATGTTTGCTTACAAAAAATTATTTCAAATAAAAATAAAGTCGTCGACGTTATGAAATGTATTCACTATTTATGCCATGGATTTTGAACTTACACAAATGCATGAATTACATTGCTTTTTATCCTTTTCTATGCATTCCACCAGAAGCTCAACATCCGTGTCTGGATCTACTGAATGGACCTTTCAAATAAATCTTAATGCCAATTAGCACACACTGTTCCTACTATCTCGATTTTGACTGGTCAGACAAAGTGGGGAAGTTTCTCTCTCGGCCTCGAACCACCCAGTGCTCACGTCATGGGGCATGATTCAATCTTTGTGATATTGTGCTTGTAATTGGTGTTTATATGCATCAGTCGTACTTTTGAGAAATGACGTGGCTGAAGGCTGATTCAGAGTGGCTATCGTAAAAGTCACAAAGAGACGCTTTCACAATTGTTTGATGGCTACTTTACATCATTAGGATTGATTATTTTCCAAGGTCCCTTTCAGCTGTTTAAATATTTTTTTTTTATTAAATTTTATCATTATTTTTTAGTTTGGTGGGCAACATGGCACTAACCTATACCATTTTGTCTTGTTTGTTTTGTTGGGTTAGGCCCTTTCGGTCTGACAAGACCATTGCAGAGCCGGAAGGATGATAGGAATTAGGGGGAGACATTGGTCTGGGCAGGCATCCTAGTGAGTCGCCGGGGCTGAGCCCGTCCGAAGACAGGCCACCCAGCCCCAAGGCACTCACTGCACCCGGCTACGGGGTGCGCTCCCTCAGGAGCAGCGGTGCCGCTCCAAGGGAGCAGCCCGCATGAGATAAAGTTGCCTGTCCAGCCCGGAAGGGGGTGGCGGTGTGGGGGAGAAAGATTTCTGTATCCCGAGGATAGAAGCACGGATAGGTGTCCATTTTGTCCAATCAGCTTAAATCTGTTGTTGCATTTTAACAGCCCGCTTGTTATTCAATTCAGCTGGATTGCCTGTCATAGACGTCTTAATTTACCTATGAGGCCGTCTGACCTATGAGTATCTGATCAGTCCCCTGAACCTGAGCCATTCCAGTTCTACACATTAAACCGCCAGTCCATGTTGTGGACTGACTTCAACTCAACCAATCCGCTAGCCTCACGCTTCGCTGCATAGCGGTCATTCCGCTCCGCATCAATTTGTACTCCCTGCTCCAAATGCTCACCAATTCCGAAGGAGAGGGAGGGGTTGCGTCAGACTACCTATATTCAATCCCGTTGCACCTTGGCCGGCCCAGCTGATCTCATAGTGATGCGACGAAGGTACCACGGCGGGCAGGGAAGGGCGGCCAGGGGTCAACTATGCGGATCCTGTGCGGCGGCGAGGGGCGCGGGCCGCCGCCGGCCGGGCCCAGTCGCCGCGCTGCGGAGATACGCCGCGGCCCCGACGCGACGGTCGCCCGTCAGTCGCGCACGGTGATGTCAGATGACGTGATGACGTCAGACGCAGCGCTGCCATTGGCTGCCGAGGAAGCTTTATGAGCGGTGCGTTGTCCTGACTGCATTCCAGCGGCGCTAATGCTTTATTTGAGCTCGTTCTCGGCCGTGAGTGTCGTTTATATGTCACGGCTCTGGCAGCTGATGCACAATGTTTAATCATAACATGGTGTTGGACATGTTTTATCACTTTCGGTGTGTCTGGCAGTGATCAACGGTGCAAGCAAAATTGGTTTGTGCGGGCGTGCCATGCGTGCTTTCTTGTTTGTATATTATGAGTTTTTAATCGTATTTAATTAATATATTCGCCATTTAAAACATGACAGACACTTCACCGTCAAAAAACGATGCGGGATCTTTATTTTTGGACTGACGTCAGTATATACCTAAATGCTATCAATAATTAACTTTGATAAACTTCGCTCATGGGGAAGGGGACATTGCCAACTGCCCCTCTGCTAGCTAGATAGGCGTGAAAATAATTATTTATTCATAAATCATAGCTCGTGGCTAGATGAGGCCCACCCGTGCAATAGAGTATGATGCAAACTGAAAGTAACCCCCAACTGTTGGATATGCTTACTATAAGCAGAAGTGTTTTTCTGAGCCAACACTGTAGATGACGAAAGCTATGCAGTCGGATGGCGATGGGGCGAGGACACTGGGTGTCATCCACATTGTGACAATGCAAATTATCTCGTTGCGACCTTATAACAGATAGTTTATTCAATTCGGGTGCATGTAAACACCGTGCATATTGATCAATGCGATGCAGATGAGCATTCCTCGCCGGGTTGTCGCGAGGACACCTGTATGTTCCGGCATTGGACCGCCAGTCTGAATACCAAGCAGCGTACGTACCACTCGACGAACAAAGCGCTGTGTTGGACCCGTACACAGCTTGTCATAATAAACATACTCGGGGCCGCTGGCAGTGCGGGGCAGCCGGTGGCGACTCGACTGCCGGTGTTCGGAGAATGACCCGCGTGTAGGGGGGGGGGGAGGAGTCACTTTAGTGACCCGCCAAACCTCGTGACGTCTAAAATTTAAAACAAAACGTACCAACCCGCACATCTGCTAAAGCAGAGGCCCCACCTGGACCACTCAGCACGGGGAGTTTTGTCGTTTGTGGCGCCCCGCCGCCGAGTGTGTGGGGTGATCCGGTTTTTACACGGCACTTTTGTCGCTGAGTCGTGCACGTGGAGGAAACACGACGTAGTGATGGGGATGTCCTCTAGCCGGGGCGGACCGCGCATTCAGGAGCCGGTGGCATGATGCAACTGCGGGCTACCACACGCCGACCGCCAGCCGGACAATCAGGCCGGGGCTGGACGACTGAATGAATTGCGGCAAGGCAGTTTACGGAGAAGCCTGACTTTTCCGTGGGTTCTGTTGAGTGTATACGTACGGTGGTTTTAAGATTGGGCCTGTCCAAAGCTAGGTATAGGTGGTATTGAGACTGGGCCTGTCCAAAGTTATAGGAAGTATTTAGCAAGAACAACGCTTGGGTATGTGTAAAAGATGTACATTATTTTGTCTACATACCTACATATGTATATCTTTTTTTTTAAATCAACCAATTAATGACAATCATGAGCCAGTAGGTAGGTAATGCTTTTAGGTAATGCAGGAGTTAAGAGTTGATAAAAATGCTCTTAAACTTAGATCAATGGGAAGCGACCCATTGTAAGCCGTGGCAATACGGGCTCACCCCTTAGGTACTTATTCCTTCTACGTTATGGGGTCTGCCGCATGTACGTACGTGAGATGCGACTTGCCATTTACCGACCTGCCGCCTTGGCCCTTGAATGCCTCCCTACAGAGGTTCCCACACAACCGAGCAGCCAACGATGCTCACCATGTTTAGAAAATCGAGTGAGGCAACGTATGACGTCATCGGTATTCAGGATGACGTCACATTGTCCACGGCAAGGGGGCGGGTCGCCCACAGCCGCCCCGTCGGCGTCCTATGTTTGCCTGAACCGTCAGGGCCGCGGGAATCCAATGCTGACACATGCCTGGTATAAGTGCACTGCAACTTTTGCAACAAGACCGTAGTTGTGTAAAAATGCCTCCCGTAAACTGCCCTAAAAAGATCGTTATCGGTCATGTATTGCCTGATTACAGTGTATAATAGAGTATTACCATCTTATCCAAATAGACTTGGATCGGGATTGACCGTAATTAAAATATCGCTCACGCAAAATAAGAACGGAATCTACATTTTTCCAACACTGTTGAAGCCAGCTATTTCTTTGCCCTCTTGCCCGTTCACCGATGTGCCCCGAGTGACCGTGTGACCGTTCCAGGTCACTGCTGGTGCATGGACGAATTTGGTCGGGCGGTGCTGGGCACAGCTGTTCAGCACGCCCAGCCCGACTGTTCAGGCCGCACCTCCCGAGCATCCACGGATGGTGAGAGGACGACCGGGCGGCCGCCGTGTGGCGCTCTTCCTCTGTCTGTCGGTCTGTCTGTCTGTCTGTCTGTCTGTCTGTCTGTCTGTCTGTCTGTCTGTCTGTCTGTTTTTGTGGTTGCCTCTCTCTCTCCCTCTCTCTCTCTCTCTGTTTCCATCTTTCGCTTTCTCCCCTTCCTCTCTCTCCCTCTTTCTCTCTCAACGTGATTGATAGCAGTATGTATGTCAGTCGGGCGCACTGTGGTATCTCCGATTCATTTATGGAGACGTTTCTATTATTGGAAACGTTTCCAATTTTGACTACTCTTCTGTTCCAAAAATGGAAACGCTCGTTCCATAAATAGAAACGCTAACATCTCCGCACATATTTTCTTGCCAAGGGTGGCTGGATTCGATGTATAACAACTGTTTCGCGTAAAACAAGCTCAGATACACCAAAAACACTTGTCTTCTTGCATGGAAAGCTGTCGTATGCATTAAAATTCACGTCTTTAAAATGCTCCTGAATCGTATCCATTTATGGAGACTTAGTTTCCAAAAATGGAAACGCCGATGTTCCAAAAATAGAAACGCTGAATTTCAAATGTGTGCAAACTTGGCTTAAAAATGTTTTTAAAATTCACATGCAACTAAAAATTTGATGTTTTGGGACTGGTTTAGCATCTCGGCTCTCGGCAGTTACCTTGGACGTCGGGTTCGATAATAATACCTTACGCGCCGCAACTTGAGCACATTCAAAAGTCAACTAAAACTAAGATTTCCCAGAAACTACTGGACAGATGTGGTCCAAAGTGGGCAATACATAAAGCGTAGATATCATTTCAATATATAAAATTAACATCAATATTACACATGAGCTAGAATGAATAAATTCATCGTCAGAATACAACGGTATTTGGTGTGACGACGGTGCAGACCTTATTTCCATCCTGCTTTTTACGTATTTGCACGGAGATTTACGTTGATCCGAGCCTACGATCATATTCAGCACATTTGAAATATCATAAAATGCCCACTTAAGTCTCCAAATAGGGCTTTGCAACAACTTTCATGCGATTTAATCAAAGATTGACGACCACCAGGCCGCTGGTACACCGGAAAACGCAGCGTGAAAATGAATGAAAAACTGAAGTTCCCGGTGATGTGGTTGTTCCAATCAATAGGTCAGTCTTTCAGTAGTCTGTTAAAAACGTTATTTTTTGTTCAAAACATTCATAAATGTTATTATTTTCGATTAGAAAAACGTGTGAATTTTTTATCACGTCAACATGTTATAAGCATCGCCTCGTTCGTCAACTTTCGGTTTTCTGATCGGAAAGTCGGAGAACAGGAACATAAACTAGAATGCTGGCTGTCAATTGGTGGCATCCTGCGCATGCCAAATTGCACCAATCAATGCCCAGTTTGCTTTAAAGGTAGCGATGCACACAGCGTCTCCATTTATGGAACAGATCGTTTCTATTTTTGGAAACGGCGTATCCATTTTTGGAACATTGTTCCAAAAATGGAAACGTTTCCATAAATGGATCGGAAATACCACAGTGTGCCCGACTGATGTACGTTAACAGTTTTAATCCAAACCGATCGTTTATTCTTTCGGAGTGACTAGCGGGTAAATGCATACGCATTGCTAGGAACCACTGCATACTTGTGGCTTTGGTATGGTCACTGTTTACGTTAGTGTTGTGGGTCGGGAGATAACATTAAGTAAGGGCGTGTAAATATTGACATAGACAACGATAGCGTGAAACCTTATAGTTGGTAATGGCAATTGGCATCCACACGAAAGGCAGTGCTCAACCACTCAGCTCAGAAAGGAGTCGCTGTAAAAAGGATCGTGTTGAACAGAAAATAGTGTGATGCGTCTGGCCATACTCACAGCATATTTGTTGCCATCTGAGGGGCTTCGTGTAAAGTTTGTGCATTGTTCCTTACACAGCTGACAGCTCATGCTCTGTTTCAGTGGTTGCTGCATCGAAAAACGGCAGAACAAGGAAGAGGCGAAGGCGAGGTAAGAATAAAATAAGTTTTTAAACGTTATCGTATTGGAATTGGCTGCTGCAGAGCTCTTGAATTTTGATGTCACAACTTATTATTCGCACCCCACTGTTTCAAGTGTATGATTATTAACATTTCGTTTATCTGCTTACTTCAGGCTGCGGAAGTCGCGACAGGACGGTGTTTAGGGCGGACATTATGAAGATGATCAAACGAGAATACCAACGCCGAAAGAGAAACAGAAACAGTAAGTACCGAGAGTAACAACTAACGCTCAATATGTCACCTCGTCACCTATCTCCCCAGTCAGTTCATGTATCAATCAATTACCCCTTTAAAGAGACCCTCCCACCTTCAAAAAAGTTCATGAATTGGCATGAAAGTGATGTCGCTCGGTTCAGAAAGAGGGAAAACTAATAGCTACCAAATTTCATAAAACAATATTCACCGGTTTTCAAGATATTAGACTTATACTTTTGTATACTTTTTGGGATCTCCGCTGTTCCTAGCGACTTTATTTGAAAGTGCGGCACTTGTTGCGCGCAAAGCAGCATATACCATCGCGTGCTACCAAACGTTTTAGTACCTAAAAGATTTAAAATCGTTAGATCTGCGCTGACGTCACACATTCAGAGGGGGCATTTTAATGCATTAGCCCCTCTGAATCAAAGTGCTGCAACTGTGACATTAGATATTTTCGATTTGAAGCATTTTTCGATCTTGTGAGTGCTCAAACCGGTAAGTGCAAGCCAGGGACCCCATTTTGTGTATCTCAACTCAAAACTTATGTTAAGGTGGGATGGTTTAACGACTCGATCAGTCCCTGAGCACCAGTTCCTACCTCGTCTCCCAGCGCCAATAACTACCCGTCCGTTTACCCGTATCGCCGCATCGCGTCACGTTCGTGCCCCGCGACCCGCCGGGGTCGCGGTCCGGACCTCCGGCACCGTCCGGACCTCCGGCCACACACACCTCCACTGTGCAAATCACGGCTGTTTGTTTGGTCAGCTCGCAGAGAGTGATGTAGAGCGGTCGAGCCGGAGAGGGCGCACATACCTACCGGCCGCGCCCGACCGACCGGCCTAGGCTGTTCTCTCTGGCGGGCTGGCTCGGGACGGAGATGAGGGCGAGACAGTGGGAAGGTCAGAGGCTTGAGCAGTTAGCAGTTAGCACCATTTTAGCTGGAGGGCAGAAGTCCAGGCAAGAAGGAGAAAGTGCGGTGGAGTGTGGGGAAGAAGAGAGAAGAGGCAGTAAGATGTGAGAGGGAGATTGGAGGGAAAAGTAATAAAAGTAGACTAAAAGGGATAAAGGGAGTAAAAGTAGAGCGTGAAACCCGCATCATGTAGGTCGAAGTAATAATAATAAGGTACAAAGTCTGTTCCGTGCTGGTGTTTCTTATCCGAGGCACCTTTTCCGCAGTAGCGATATGCCAACAGGGTACAACGGTGCTCGAGTTTGGAAGATAGACTAAACACAACGGTTGTGTAGTCTGCGGTTTGCAACTAGCACGAATTGGCTAATCGACGAGAAATCACAGCGAATGATTCAGCTATCCATCCGATAGCCGATGTGCCTCCTAAAGATGGTGTGGTGAGCATTGTGAGCTCGTTAGATAAAGTGAACTTTTCCTTGTAGTTGAAGATGCCGAATGATATTTCCCTAGCTTGATGTAGTTGGCCAAAAATATAAACGTCAACTGGCACGATCTTGTGCGGTCGCCACCGTCCAGACATCAGATGCATGTCTTTGTCCGATCGGCTGATGCGCTGGACTTATGCACCATTGGTCTTTGGTTTATCTGGCTCTACTAACCACAATCTCTCAAATCAGACACCACAAATTAAGCAGTAACAGCTAAAAAAGGCGGTCTGTCTGCCTCACAGTCTCACAGCGCATCAGTGGCGCCCAACCAACCCAAAACACCGCGTGTTTTTGGGCGTCGATGCACCCACTGGCACCCGCTGGACACCAAAAGGTATCTAGCTTGGTTCAGACTCGGACACCTGCCTACCGGAGACCGCGAAGCGGTGCGATCCGGTGTCCGTCGACACTGCAGGGAAACCCGGCGCCGGTCACGACTCGGTGGCGGGTGCCGCACATCCGGGACTCGGCGACACTGCCAGTGGCGCCATGAATGTGAATACATAATCAGATAAACGGGGCGCTGACAGCCGGCGGCCGGCGTGCGGGACGATATCGGCCAGGTGTGCACCGGACAGGTGCCGGTGGGACGGACGGCACGGGCCGCACCGGGCTGGACGGTCGGCGACGGACGACCTGGCTAGCTGGACGGCCGGCCAGGGACGATCGAGTTGCAGGCGAGGCAGGCCGGAGAGGGACGGTCACTGGACGAGGCCACCCAGCTGACGGGGGCGAGCCAGGCCGACGGGAGGTGCTATACTGATCTAACTCTGTCCTCTGTGAGAGATGGTGCTGAACTGGGACTAGGTTTAAGAGAAACGAACAGAAAATAGCCTTTTTAAAGGTCTTGTTTAGTTATAGCGCTTTATCTAGCATGATGGCGCTATACCTACTTTCGCAAAGGATTATCCAGGAAGCAGATACCACCAGCTGTTTCGCCCTCACTGCGACAGCGGCCGGGCGGTATGCAAATAATCAACGATCTCAGCATTTATTGATCTATGTCTGCACTCTGGCCACATTATGGTCGGCCCAGAGCTTCAATGGCGTCTTCCGAGTGTTCGATGTTGTGTTGATCTTCTTTTTACGCCCACGCTCTGTTGTTCTCGGCAGACCGCGGTCGCTCAGGCGCCGACAGCTTGGGCACCCTGGCGGCGGAGTGGAAGTTCAAGCGGATGGACAAGGACCGGGACGGCAAAATCTCGCGCCGAGAGATTCGCCGCCTAAGAAAGTGAGTACAAACACCGTCACTCGTCACCAGTGTGCTGTCGCCACAGGTCGTAATCGTTCAGTGTGAGATGTTTCGTAAGTGCTGTGAAGTGATCGGGCGCTTACGAGGATGTAATTTGTCGGACTGTGAATCTTTCGCCGGTCGAGATGTTTAGGTAAGCGAGACATGCATGAGCAGTGAAATCGTCATGCTACCGTGCATACATGCATATGCACGACACCGGTTCGACCAACCAGAGACACGGACTCATTGGTGGACGTTTGAGGATTAATCGGCCTTGTTTGGTCGCTATCAGTTGACACGTGCACGCTGAACAAATGCCGGACAATTTGTATTTGAGTGACCCCTCTGACGGTGACAGTCCAGGGCACGTGCGACATATCTGGGGGCGCGGCCAATGTCATTATCATGCGTCATGTTCGGCGACTATCTGGCCCGCTGCAGGTGCTGTATTTGACAAATATCGGCGCAACAGGTGCTCTGGACTGCGTGTCACTGTCCACCCGGTGCCACCTGTGACTGGCCAGGTGCAGGGAGCGCGCGCTGCCTGCCTGCCCCGTGACAGTGGCACTGCGACCGGGCCAGTGAGACTGTTGCTTGGCAGGTCACAGCTTGTCGATGAGTTAACCACGGAGTAGAACTAAGCCAGGTGATACTGCGCCAGACGTCAGACCTTTATTTCTGTGGCTGAGCTGTGCATCACGGTCTGTGGTCTGATTTAACAGTGAAAACTGAGCAAGTATACACCTGTCTGACTGTGACTGATCCCCAGCTCTCTGCTCTGCTCGACAGGAAGGCGCGGCGTCAGCTGAAGCCCGCGCTGTGCGCTCGCCGCTTCTACCGATACTGCGACACAAACTCGGACCGGTATATGAGCAAGCAGGAGTGGCTCATCTGTGTCGGCGTCAAGCAGGACAATAGTGAGTCACCGACCCCGGCCCCGTCCCCGGCGTGCTCCCGGCCTAGACCCCTGTCCAGTTCAGTGGTCCCTAGACCCATCCCGGGCCCGATGTGGTCGCGAGACAGGTATCCCAAACCCGTTCCCGTCCCCCGGCGTAATCTTAACACTCATCCCGAGCTTGGCCAGGTCCCTAGACGTATCAGGAACCCGGCCCAGTCCCTTGCATGGTCCCTGGACATATCCTAACCTCAACCTTGTCACGCACTCATTCCGAGCCTTTCCCCGGTCTCTTTACTCATCCTAGTCAAATTTCGTTCCGTCGGGCCTGAACGCTTTCCGACTCCACAGACTTTTCCGCCGACTCGTCCCGAGCATTTCCCATCCTTCAAATGCCTAATTCATTTTCTCTGTCCTCTGCAATGCTCCAGCGTTTCAGCGTCTTTAAATTGAACACCCTCAAGGGCGCACACAAGGGGGGGGGGGGCACACGGGCCCGTGCCCCCCATTCGAGTTGGGGGGCCCCCAACTCGAAGGAAGGGGCCCATTTGAGGCGGCTTCGGCCGCCTCAAATGGGCCTCTAACTAATCCTTAGACCACCAAAGACCATGTACAACGGGCCCTCAAATGGCCTTAAAAGGGCCCTCAGATGGTTTCAAAAGGCCCTCAGATGGCCTCGAAGGGCCCTCAGTTAGCGTCATAGGGCCCTCATCTGGTGTCAAAGGGCCCTTAGATGGTGTCAAAGTGCCCTCAGATGGCCCTAAGGAGCCCTCAGATGACCTCAAAGGACTCTCAGATGGCGCTTTAAAGGGCCCTCAGCTAACGTCAAACGGACGTCAGAAGGCCTTAAAGGGTGTCAAAGGTCCCTGAGCTGGCGTCAGAGGGCCATGCCCTTGCGTCAAATGGCTCTCCGAAGGCTCTAAAGGGTCCTTAGCTGGTGACAGAGGGCCCTCAGCTGGCGCCAAATGGCCATCAGAAGGCCTCAAACGGTCCTCAGCTGGCGTCAAGCGGCCCTCAAAAAGCCTCAAGGGGCCCTTAGGAGACCTCAAGGGGCCCTCAGAAGGCCTTAAACCATTTGGTCAAATTGTCGAAGGGCCTTGAGCTAGCGTCAGAGGCCCCCCCCCCCAGCTAATGTCAGAGGGCCCTGGGCTAGCGTCAAACTTAAAGTGCCCTTAGCTGGTGTCAGAGGGTCCCAGTTGGTGTCAGAGGGTCATCCATTGGCGTCTAATGGCCATCAGAAGGCCCAAAAACGATCCTCAGCTGGCGTCCAACGGTCCTCAGCTGACGTCAAGAGGCTCTCAAAAGGCCTCAAAGGCCCCTCGACTGCTCAAAAGGCCCTTAGAAGGCCTTAATGGGAACTCAAGAAACGTTAAACAGCCCTCAAAAGGCTTGAAAGGGCCCTCTGCTGATGGCAAAGGGCTCGCACCTGAGTCAATAAGAGCCTTGTCAAAAAACGGACCTGAGAAACCTTGCCGGCCCTGGTTATCTGCGGGACTCCTACACTTACCTGAGTGGCCCCCGTTTACTGAGGGGCCCTGGTTATTGATGGGGTCCCTGGTTACTTAAGGGGCGTCTGGTTACCAGAGGGGCCCATGGTCACCTGGCGGGCCCCTGATCAATTGAAAACCCCTGGTCATCTGAAACGCCCCTGATTACCTAAAGGGTCCCATCACTTGGATTCAGTGACATAGCAAGGGAGCGAGGGGGTACGTGCCCGTTCTCGGGTTTAGGGTTCCTTCGAAACCGAGGGGCCCTGCGGCGCCAGTTGGTAGCAGAGGGTTCGCGCTGGCCGCACTTCAACTCGGAAGGACACCACAGGGCTTGTGGGGGGACGTTATTGGCTCCTATGTAGCCACAATTATCTTCATAAAGGCCCAATGCCGGTTTCTGAGAGACCTCGCCGGCCGCTCAGGGCCCTAGTAACGGCCAACGAGGGATTGGCTGCTATGGCTCCACATCCGTCTGTGATAGACACACGGTCCACACCAGTGTTTCTAAAGGCACCCACAACGGCAACTGCGAGGCCCCTCGCCCCACCTTCAAGGGACCCCCACCAGCGCATCCATCGGCGGCTCTGAGAGTCCCCACACCGACGCCTCTGAGGGCCACGTACCAGTGACTCTGAGGGCCTCTTACCAGCCTCCGAGTGTCCTTGCCAGCCTATGACGGGCCACTTTCCACTTGCAGGCCATTTTGCAGGGCCACACACATGCCAATGATGGCCCCACCAGTGTCTCTAAGCCCTAAGACCCCGCAACGGCGCATGTGAGGACCCAACACCAGCGCATCTGACGGCCTTTCACTGGCACCTCTGAGCGCGCCACACACCGGTGACTCTGAGGAGCTCGCTCGCTTCGCTCGCTCGTAAAATACCATGTAAATTAGGCATTAGTGTACATTAGGCACACTCCTCGGGCATAAATGATACTTTTGCTTGCCAATTTCCCACATTTTCTCATGCAAAGATCCCGTTTTAAAGAGACCCGTCTGCCAGTGAGACTGGACCCACCGTGCCTCCCTCCTCCCATCGAAAGGTCCTGGATACATCCTTGCCTGAGCTGACCCCGGGCCCCCGGGTGACTCGCGGGCCCGGGGTCAGGTGACCAGCAGGTGACCCCCTCTTGGGCGAAATTCTGGGTATGTGTCCGCCATGCATCGTACATAGTCCTGTTGATTTGATTCATTGGTTTAAATATAAGTTATAAGCTGGATCTCTAGTCTGTGATCCCGCATCGTATCAGATATAATGACATTTCATGTCGATGTGCCTAAAAAATTTGCGAATATACGTGAAAAAGGAGTGCTGCTCCCGCTCCTACACATCCGGGCCAAACAGTGACCGGCCTGGACCGGCCCCTGCTTCTAGCCACCCGGGGTCGGTCGGCCGGCCGGCAGTCAGTCGCTGCCCGGGGCTGATTTCTGAGGGACTTGTAAAAATGTTTGTTAATGAAATGTTTTACGTAATACATTAGATGATTAGGTATATGTACCGGCTCTGAGTCGCATTTGAGAAAAAAACATGCTAGCGTAAAAATATATATGTTTTGAAAATTAAGCTGGTACCGAAATAATTGTTTTACCATGCATTGACAAACCAATTGCTCAAGCTTCAAACCAACCGAAATATAGCCCCGTGGGCCGTATTTTTTTTTTGGGGGGGGGCCCTTCGGCATGGGGGGCCCAGTTCGAAGGTCGTGCCCCCCCCCATTCAAAAATCCTGTGTGCGCGCCTGAACACCCTCGGCCATTGGCGAGTGTGTAAGCTGTCGATAGTGCGCCATGGGTTGCCGTCACTGGGAAAGGCGTCATCGTCCCGAATCTGTCCCCAAATGGACAGTCTGTGTCGTCAGCACCACACCATTCTCGATGGGCCAGTCGACGTCAGACAGTGTCGGGACAATCGGTACATTCGCCAATCTCAGCGGTGCCAGTATCGTCGTGCTCGGTCGAGCAGTTTGTCGCCGCTCGCAGTCGCCGCCCGGCAGATACGTACGTTTGTTGTTCTTTGACGAGCGGCCTGTGACAGTATGAGGTGTTACTGGTACTCTACAGGCGACTCTGACGGCACAGGAGTCTGTTCCTCGTCCACGAGGTGTCTAGAGGTCGGACGGACCCGAATCGTCACTCAGCGGGTCACGATAGGCCCTCAGTGACCCTTGGACGCTAACGCTCACTGACTCGTCTAAATCTGTCACTTGACACAGCTGGGATCGAAAATTATTGGTGGTTTTCGAGTGAGTAATGCACACGCGTGAAGTTCAGCTTAGTTAAAAAACTGATGTTCTCCCTGATTTTCCACCAAAAATGGGCATACCTATGCATAGTAGTGGACGGTCTTGTACTTGCATAGCAAGTGTCCATATGCTATCTAATCAGACGTTTGATTTTTGAAGGACACCGATGCATCCTGGGTGGTAATCTCGCCTCAACCAAAAGTTACCTTCCTAATTGTGACGTTTCTGAAAGACACATTGGTCTAACGACGCTCCATCGGTCATTATACTCGGGGAAATCCGTATGGTTTCATTGTCGGTATCAGGTTTCGCTGGAAGAGATCATGCGCCGGCATATTTGGCAAACAAGTTGGCCCACAAAAAGGAAATTCCCAACATCTTTGAACTAACATAAGAACAATGCATTTGATTCACAAGACAATAATTGGCAATAAAACGCTGGAGCGGATGCAGAGGATTATGAGAAAATAAACCCTATTTGTAACCTTTATTCCTTTATTGAATGTCATGTACCGTTTAGAACCATCACTCCTTGTCTGCACATGTTATATAGCTACTGTGTTTGTTATGTGATCTTTGTTGTGAATATGATCGTTATTTGTGCCGAAGCCCGTTAATGAATCATGTACCAACTAAACTAATTGTTGTCAGAAGTATGTATGCGTGTCGCCTGATATGCGTATCCGGTATGCTCCTGTTCCGATTCCTCCCAAGGGCCGCCGCGAGGCTTGGCGCTTGCCATGGTGCTGCATGGTTCCTGCTGAACCCTGATCCCGGCACGTGAATCCCTCGCGCGGCAGGGCCACATTTCATGCATGCCAACCTCTGGGGAGAGGGAGGAGCGGGCAGGGCTTAAATGCCTTCAGCAACCTCTGCTCTGTGCTCGGACCTCCAGCCCTGGTCCGCATCTTGTGAATACTCCAATAACCTCAGCTGGAGCCAGTGCCAGCCGTCCGTCCGCTGACCCGCATGCCGCCGGTAAGTGCTGCCACCTGCCGATCCGCCCCGCACCTCCTAGTTGCGCCACCAGCCGCCAGGGCGCCGGCCGGCTCATTGATGCAGTCTCTTTCCGTGTGTTTCTTGCGCTGAACGAGGATCGCAAGCCGTCGCCTGACGCAGCCGACCCGCCAGACAGCACAGGTCAGTCGCTCGCGGACAGACGCGGACACGGCCCCATAGGTAAGGCCGGTCCCAGGCCTCAGAGCCAGGTGGAACCGATCTAACAAACCCGAGTGCTTTCTGAAAAATACAGACCGGAATTAAGCTAGCCCATTTGCGGCTACTTTTTGCATATATTCGATTTCTTCAATAGCTTTAATTTCCAGTAAAATGTAAAATAATGTTCGCTGTGCATTGAAATGCCCCGCGGCGACTGCAGTCAGAGGCGTCACCAGAGACACTTCCCGTCAGCATGGTGTCAATGTGAGGGGCTGCATGGATCGTGACGGCACAATATTTCTAGCTTGGTTTTCACAGTACACCCCTCTGCTGAAGCCTCTGACTGCATCATGAATCATTTATCATTCTTTCTCACACCTAAAAAGCAAGTGTTATCTGTTACATACCTACGGATGTTTTATATGGAGCGGTCACCTTGGGTCTTAACGAGTCTGAATGTGGATTCTGTACAACTGTATAGCCGTCTTATCGTCCTTGGCACAACGATCTGGGGTTGCTTTTCCCGCTCGGCTTGCTGCGCGCTGTCGGGTCTCCTGCGCCGCGCTTGTGGCCCTGTCTCTCTGCCTCTCTGTCTCCCGTCTCCTGGCCGGTCGGCCGGCGGTGGCGCCACCTGTCTCCCGTCTCCTGGCCGGTCGGCCGGCGGTGGCGCAGGTGGCGCCACCGTCGCCGGCCGCTCCGCCCCGCCGCCAGAGGCCGGCCGCGCTGACACGCGCTTCTATGTCTCTTTGTGTGTGTGCCTGCTAGAAGCCCGCCTGGAGCCCCTGTCGACACGCGATAAAATGTTCAAGATGTTGGCCAGCACCAGTGACGAAAAGGCTGCCGATGGTGAGACCTGCCTGCCACCTAGCGAGCGCCCCCGGAACTATCAAGAGCGAGGGGTGCCTGCGTCACTAGCCTACTTGGGGACGCCACTAGGCTTGAGCACATGTCCTTAATGCTATTCTATCTAGCTAGTCTAAATGTCCAATTAGCTCTCCTTTTTTACGTCAGCATAGTTGCATAGTTGAATAGCCTCTTGCTTCTTAACTGTGTAGAGCATAGAGCAAGCAGTCTTTCTCTCGGGCTTTGTTCGGACTTCCCACATGGGAGCTGGCTTTCGGCGCTGACCCGGCGCTGGGTGTCTGTGTGTGGGGCATAGGCGGTGGAACGGGGAGGGCACCGGGGCACCGTGCCCCCCTTCGATTTTGGCATTTTAATATTAGCCCTATGGGCGTTGCATGGAAAGAATGGGACCAAAAGTCGGCAGTGCCCCCTTAATTGAAGGTGTTCCGCCGCTACTGGTGTGGGGTGAGTGCGGAGGGGGCCCGACTGTCCACCTGTCCACTGACTGCCGTCCGCCGGCTCGCCTCCGCAGAGCAGGAGAGTGACTGTGAGACAGACCGGCGCCAGGCGCTCGACAATCAGCGCATGGCCGAGCTGGAGGGCAAGCTGACCAACAGCTTCTTCATCCCTGAGTGCACGCCCGACCACAAGTACAGCCGCGTCCAGTGCCACAAAACCACCGGTCAGTACACGAATGATTGAATGAATGAATGAACGAATGAATGAATGAATTTATGAATGAATGAATCAATGAAGGAATTAATGAATCAACGAAATGAATGAATGAACAAATAAACGAATATATGCATAAAGAAAGAACAGGATAACGAACGAAAAAATGTATGCACGCATGAATGATTGAATGACAGAAAATAAGTGAGTGGATGCATGAATGAATCAATCAATGAAACAATCAATCATGCAGTCAATGAATACTAGTGAAAACGTAAGCGACTTTCGAATGCCAAACAATGAAGTCATTATCTTTATTTTTGTCTATCGTAATGATATCACGCTAGTCACTAACAGTACTAATTCATCATTCAAACGAATGGAAGGGTTACGACCGTGCAAAATTGCATCCTTCGGAGCGTTACCCGTTTCCCTCGTGCCGTCAGGTTACTGCTGGTGCGCCGATCCCGACACTGGCGAGTCATACCCTCAGCAGGCACCGGTTAAAGACAGCGTGCCCGACTGCTCGGCCATCCGACCGAGCACAAAGCCGCGCCCCAAGAGTCGGCGCGGCCGCGGCCGACTGCCCAAAGGTCAGTGGGAGTGGTGAGAGCGCCCCTGGCCTGGCCTCTCAAAGGAGGAGCTAGCTATCCCGATACAGCAGAGGAGCCGCCCTGTTGCAGTAGAGACCTAAATAATGACTTTGATACGGTAGCATGACATATGTTTGCTAAGCATTCTCCAAAGACATTTTATTAAATGGTACGAGTTGTAGATATTTTGATACATCAAACGATTTTTAGATGAACCTTAGGCTTTGCTAAGAATATCCGCCGCTTATTTTTAGGCGGTCTTTTACGTGCCCTCCAGTCCAACAAGTTTTGGAACCCTGTTCAGCATGTATCTGCCATATCATCTTCATAAACATCTCCAGACGTGGTCATTTCATGAGAGTTGTGAGACAGCTGCGCCTCTTCAGCGCTCCTTTGGCCTCTGATTGTGCAAGTCGAGTCTCTGAGCTCCTTCCTGAGTAGACCATTCACGGTCTGGCTCAGCTGAATGCTGACACCGCTGCTGAGTGCTGACATCCCTCTGGTGACCTCTGACCTCTCTGCTGACCTCTGACCCCTCCGCTGACCTGCTGACCCCCAGTGTGCCGGAGCGGTGCTGGTTTGCAGTCGTTCCTTCGTCTGCTCATGGATCACCTGACAAGTCGACTCATCAAGGCGCTTCAGCAGAAAAAGTACATGTAAGTACCGACAAAAGGGACTGTATCTATCTGTTCACTGTTATATTCCTTGTCAGAAGCACATGATACAAGTGTATGGCCCTTTAAAAAACGGCGCAGTCAATGTTTACGAGATTAATTCAATTAGACAAACGATTATGGTACTTGATGTGTATTCCTTTATATCACAATTCTAATCTACTGGGGTACCGCTTCCCGAGCGCTGGCACTAGCCCAGACGTACCGCCAGTTACCGTGTTACTCTTGGCTCTCGTGCTCAGTTTTGGCCTCGATAATAAATTGATCGCCAATCAGCCGGGGCAGACGGAAGGAGAGCTGAGGGAAGGGGAGAGGAGGGGAGGCAGGGGTCAGAGAGGCAGCTACGGAAGAGTTAGGAAGTAGCACAGACCGGCCACTGACGTGTGTCCATCCGTTCACAGACTTCCGCGCGACACGGGCGGACAGCGGAGCTTTGAGGAAAAGGTGGCAGAGTGGAAATTCAGCGCCACAGACACCAACGAAAACAAAGTAAGTGCTATCCTAAATCGTATTATACATTTTCTTGCATGTAACTTCATATCGCATGTACCTAACCTTATTATCTCTCGCATCACGCATGTTTGAGAACGTCTTTTTCCATTCATGCACACTGGTTCTGGCTATGTGGACAACGGGGAAATAAATTGGCCGAGGGACATTCAAGGCGGCATTAGACGGGGTTGAGCGGCAGGGAACCGCTGGAATTTGCTCCTCCTCCTGGGCTAGGCGTTAGATCAGCGGAACTGTCATCTTTACCACTGGATGGCGCGATCGGGGAACACGCGACCGACTATAAGATGGTGCGTAGAAACGTCGTATATGATGACTGATAAGAGTAAATTCCCAGTGAATGATGATCTGCTTTGCATATACCGGGTGGCCCAGAAAAAACGTTCCCAACTTTGAATCAATATTTCTCAGAAAGTGATAAAGATACAACATTGAAACTTCGAATAGTAAATGCGGCACACATTTTCAGTAAATGGTGTGATTTTTATGGTGTTCGGTAATTTACTTTTAAAACGGTTCGTGTTTCAAGCATGCCATGTAAAAATTACTTTTTTGCTCCGATGTTTACTACAAAATGTGAGTGAACGGGTCACTTTCACCCCGCGGCACCGCGGCCTAGAGCCATGACTTCTGCAGCTAGTCTCATTGATGGTTCGGGTCTCAGGATGACACATTCCCTCAGGCAACCATGATGGCTCTGTGCCAGCGGCATCGGAAGAAGTTTCCAGTTTCCTAACCATCTTGTGGCTCAAATGCTTTCCTGGCTGACATTCCTGGGAAAAGGTAGCTTTTCAACCAGTTGTTTTTGTCATCTGCTGGCAATGTTGTTTTTCATAAGCTATTCGGTGGTCTTCTGGCACAGGAACCAGTCTGCTTTAGTTTGTTTTCCTTATCCGGTCGATTTACTGTTTGATCTACTGAAAGGAGGGTAATCAGCAGTAATCCATGCACCGTGCCACTCCTGCTCGAAACATGATTTGGTGTTGAAACGAATGGCATCCATGAGCACCATTTTGGCTCAGTATTTGAATATTTGGCACATAAGTGAGACAAAAATATTTAAAATAAGAACATACGTGTTGGTTTCATTCACGTGCCCTATTTTTATTCTTTTTTATAACATGGGACGTCTAATCCAATGATCACTACCGTTTGACATCGGCAAAAAAGCAAAAACGTCTTGCTTAATTCAACTCAAGATTGCCAGCTTGAAAATGATGGTATAGTGTTATAATTTGGCATACCAATGCGCAAAGAAATGACGCAAACTTGATTAAAATTTTGGCTCGTTATTTGAACTCCAATTTGATATATAGGCCTCCAAAGTTCGGAACGTTTTTTCTGGGCCACCCTTGAGGGCCGCTTTAGAGGCTGATATGTTTTAGAGACTGCCGTTATCAAACTTGGATGTCAGTATATCTCTACATATATAACTTGGATTAGCACCGTGGCGTACTTCTCACTGCTATGTTTAACCTTCCAAGCGCTATTCATCATCTAGCAGACGAAATGTAGGTACTAAAGTAGCGAGGCACTTGCATGCTTTCACTTTCTCGCCACTTTCCGACCGTTGTATTTCCGGGATGCTTGCACTATACAGCCATTCCATGTAGTGCAAACTTTGCAGGGCCTTTGCAACACGTCGGACGGAAGACAGCTACTGCGGTGCAGAAGCTCTGGCCCTGTTTGCATGATGTAGGCGGTCAGCGTTCAGAGTAAAGTCGTTGGGTTTAGTTACAGCTCATGTTTATTGTTTCGGCAGCATTGAGCGTAACACACAAGACGACTGTCCGAGCCGTTAGCTCAATGGGTTCAATTTGACTGGCGAAAGAACATAAATACATACATATGTACATGTAACAAGGTTACTCATGATGCAATAAACAAGACGTGCGCTGCAAGAAAGAAATGGAATTTCAACCAGGAGACAACACGGCGTGATGACAACACGAAATCAGTTAGGTACAAAGCTTGACGACCCGTGCACACTTATATTCAATACTTATCCTAAAACAATGTCAAAGTTCAACAGTAAAAACAATGATAACATCACACAAGAACATGACTAGGGTTCATTCCTTCACGAGTGACACCACCCATAGCAGTTTGTCTATACCGAGACCGATACGAAGCAATACCTACATACAGCACTGTTTATTGCCACTCGGACAGCTACGGCGCTGTCTTCTTCGCGCCTCACACATTTCACGCCTCATCGAATCGATCTAACACTAGACCACCGTTTTTATCCCTGCATTGTGCAAATACAGCGTGGGCAATAAATTACAGCCACACATTTTTACCCAATAGCCAGCACTGACAGTGATAATGCAGCATTAGAGTCTCTCAGGCCATTCGCAAAACCCATCGGGCGGTCCCCACGCGTCAGCCAGTGCCAAACGTGGGCTGATTCTCTTCTCGTCGGGCCGCCGGGTGCGCGCACAAGGTCACATCCAGTCCTATCGTTCCACACACCGGGTGACCTTGCACGCGAGGATAACGATGAGTGGGGATGAGTCGTATGGAGGCGGGAACTCGTGATGATGCAACTGCAGGGACGCGTGCAGCGTGAAGCGATAGAGGCGTTAGTTTGCGAGACGGTTGGATGCTCCACTCGCAGCTGTCTGTGAGGCTGCAGCTTACTAGAGGGAAGAGTACTTCTCTGCCTCATTCTGTGCCCAATAAGAGATAATCACAGGCACGCTGGATCGCTGAGCTGTCGTGGTCCACGCCGGCGGCAGAGTATGGCGAGTTGCGAGTTCATTCACCGCGTCCAGCCGCCCCCAGAACAGCCATGAACCCGATACGGGCCGGTCAGATCACTCGTCTATACATCCTTAAACAACTGGCAGTGGTGATGCAAGTGCAGCCGGCACTATCTCGTCTTTGAATCCACACATGGACGCCGCTCGACAATTCCATCTGCGTCTTCCGCCCGGCTCCTCAGGTGTTGAAGGAGTTGTGGAAATTCTCCAGCAGCGTCGTGGCTGAGGGCACGGAGGGGACTGGCGGCACCTCCCCCGTGAACGCTGACGCCAGCACGTTGAAGACGGTCAGCAGGATCGAGGCGATCATGCAGACGTTGTTGATGGTCTCCGCACGCCGGAAGTGGTGCTGCTTGTTGATGTTGTAGCGGGCTTTCAGCATCAGGCAGACGGCGATCACCACCTGCAGCACGATGCTGAAGGCCAAGAAGACGATACACACCACCCTGAACGGCGAGTCAGGGTCACCGCGGGTCACCAGCGTGCGCAGCTGGTCCGCGTTGGCCGACAGCAGCGCCACGTCCATGAAACCCTGCGTCACCGTCTTCTTGGTGCTGTAGACGTCAATATCGGTCTGTTTCATCGGCCGTACGTCCGACACTCGAGTCCACTTGTTGCGTCGCCGACCTCCGCCTCCGCCCACGTCTTCCACACCTGGACCTCCACCTACATCACCGCCACCGCCGCTCAGGTCCTCCTCGAATGGCTGCACGCCGGCCGGCGGGACCTCACCGCCCTCCAGCAGGGCCGCGCCGGTGTCCGGATCGGCACCGCGCGGCGGCACATCACCGTTCGTACTCGTCATGACGATGGCTGTCGGTCCGTCCGCTGCCAGTGTTACCGCTGTGCTAGCTGAGTTCACCCTCTCACTCCGATCTGGATTGCTCACTGCAGAAGGCTCACTCGCCTCTCGCTGTCTCGCTGCGCTCTCTCGCTGTCTCGATGGGCGCTCGCTGCGCCCTGCTCGGTGCTCTCTCGCGGTGCAACTGCTGACGGCCGAGCGAGTGCCGCCAGTTTTGCCGGGCCCGCCCCGTCAGACCGGGACGTCCTTCATTCCACGAACGTTGCACCGCCGGCCGGCCTCAGTGACGTCACAGTGCAGCCAGGGTGACGTCCCACTGGGCCAGGAATGACGTCACACGCGACTGACTCCGCTCTGTGCGGCAGCGCGGTTACCTGCCGTCGGGCTCGCGGTGACGGCTCTGACGGCGCGGCGCCTCGGCTCCCGGCGACACGTTGTGGCCCGAGGATGGCTCACTGCGGCGTCTGGTGCCGCCCACGACGAGACGGCGCGACAAAAATAGACAGGAAGTCGCTCAGTCGGGCGGCGCGCGCCTGCGCTCCAGTTGACGTCATGTGTCGGGAGCAGCGAGGGGAACGGAGGGGCACGCGGAGATAGGCCCCGGATGAGAGCTCTGCGGTCGAACTGGGACGGCCCACAACACTTCCGGAGTGCGACACCGGAACCAGGAAGAAAGCTCATTCAGAAACTTCAGAAGTTGTATCTGTTGCTGTTGAGCTCACCCGACCTGGTGTGAGTGCAGTTAGCATTTTATTTTGCAGAGAACACTGTCCAAGACGTTACATCACTGAAACATCGAAATTTGAACTGCTAGATTTTGCAGGCATTTACCCACCATTGGATGACTTTGAACCATTGAATCGATTGCGAGCATTGCACGTCATTCTTTCTGCAAATGAACTCGCTCTCACACGCAACTAAAACCGTCTTAGGTACTATGGTTAATGGTTATGCTAAAAATAGCAAATCGTTCATGCCCCGCTGGGCGCTGGCCATATTATGAATCGCCGACGTAAAGTCGTAAGTGACCGCCCGTGTTTCCCACAATAGCCAGTCGTTGCATCACCAGCTATTACCTGTTCTTACGTCTCACCTGTCGGACTTCCCGATCCACATCCACCCCCCCCCCCCCCCCAGATCGTCTCATCTCGCTCGAACGCAGGGCTATTGTTGAGAAGAACGACGCGCGTCACATTTTCCACGCCGGCTCCCCGCCGGCATCTGAGACAATTCACAGTAACTTTGGTAGGCCACGGACGTCACAAAGAGTACGGATGATGGGGTTGGGATATTTACGGGTTCATGGCATTCGACCGCAGACAGGGGCCCGTGCCGCCGCTCAGCCAAAGGCTCGTTGCGACGTAGTTGCTTTCCAGCTCCGTTGGACAGCCCGCCGTTGCAAGAACCGGTCATACGGTGCAATGTCGGATAATATTCAAGTCATGGCCCACAGCAATTCCGCATTTTTATCGTTTGAGCGTGTATGAGAGATGTCTGAAATGATACTGGTCTAGACAGGTTACACCAGAAAATTGCATTCCAACATGATAGCGGCGTTCGTCCGGGCTTGCTACTGCAGGGTCTTCGTTCAACCGGGACGCGTCTAAGACGAACAGAGACCCCTGAGACGCAGGACTGAACCGTCGGTCAGTCTGTCTATCAAAGGGCGACAGAGCATGACATTCCTGATTCGGCGCTGCGTCTTCACACGGCTGATCAGCGGGGTCAGAGCTCGTAGGGCAGAGCTTCCTGTATGCAATGGCTCAAGGATGTGGCAACGGGATAGGGCGGCGAACAGCTCACGCACGGGAAATTCCGGGTCAGCCTCGCTTCTCACGCATCGTAAAAAGACAACGACCCTGACTGGAAACAGGGGACCGGCAGTGATGTGACGTCACGGCCACCGTGACGGGCGGTGACGTGTCCAGAGTGAGCGCATAATGTGACTGACGCGGCGGCGGAATTATATGTCCATACCTATTAGTCGCAGACAATGTCCGTCACAGCTGGATTCGCATAAAGCTGAACTAGACCTCTGTGCATTGACCTATAATTATACTTACTTATTATAGGCCAATGCCTCTGTGCACCCCTTGGACTAGCGTAAACTGGACTTGGGTAGGTACACTCGGGGGCAGATTGATGTTCCACCACTCCCTACCCATCGGGCTCCCATGGCTCAGCACTGGCTGCTGCCAGTGTTAACTGCCCTCAGCACTGCTCAGCACTGCCTGCCAGTGCCAGTGCTGCCAGTCCTGCCACTGACAGCAGCCAGTGCTGAGCCATGGGAGCCCGATGGGTAGGGAGTGGTGGAACATCAATCTGCCCCCGAGTGTACCTACATCAGCTAGACTTACTACAGATTCTTTTATAGAACTGGAGGCGCGAAGGGGGTTACATCATACCGCGTCGAACCGGCTATAAATAGAATGGTGCCAGGAAACGAGCAACATAGCAAGGCATGAAGAATTTGGAATGTGGGAGCTGCCTCTGTTTTGCAAGAATGCGCATCTGTGTATCTGATTAAGCATGGCGTGAAATGCTTAACACATTATGTATGCAGCGAATGTTGCACCATTTTGCCCGAAATGACATTCTTGCATTTATTTAAAGAACCTCAGTGCAGCAGAAAATGACTTGGATAACATTTCCGCCCCCTTTTCGAAAGTAAGTGAATTGCATTTGCCAGCAATTTAGTCTGCATGCCCAAGTCAAAGTTCGTTATGTTTCCATGCGTGATTCCGCGCTGCGAAACCGTCCGATACAAAACTTGCCATGCAAATACCGAACAACACAAATCTTCTTCGTGCTTTCCAAGCCAAAGAAGAGGACCGTGTATCACATGCCTATCTGTAGACGTCGGCAGTCTGTCTCTGCCTTCGTCTGTCCGCCGATGCTAGCGAATAAGCTCCTCGTATGATCATATCTAGACGGCAGTCCTCGTCACCATTCAGGCTCGGACTAGGTGTACACCCCAATAACCCTCCTGTGCCTTGTGTCCTCCCACTCAGGTGCTGGACCGACGGGAGTGGAAGGCGCTCCGAAAGGAGTTCAGTCTGGCTCAGTATCCTCCAATAACTTCCTAGTGTCTTCTCACTCAGATGCTCGACCGACGGGAGTGGAAGGCGCTCCGAAAGGAGTTCAGTCTGGATCAGTATCCTCCAATAAAACTCCCCACGTGTCCTCTCACTCAGATGCTCGACCGATGGGAGTGGAAGACGCGCTCCGAAAGGAGTTTAGTCTGGCTCAGTATCCTCCAATAACTTCCTAGTGTCTTCTCACTCAGATGCTCGACCGACGGGAGTGGAAGACACTCCGAAAGGAGTTCAGTCTGGCTCAGTATCCTCCAATAACTCCCCGTGTGTCCTCTCACTCAGATGCTCGACCGACGGGAGTGGAAGACACTCCGAAAGGAGTTTTCCGAGGACCCCGAGCTGAGGCGGTGCGGCCGCCGACTGCCGCGCTACTGTGACGCCAACAATGACCGAAAGATCGAGCTCGACGAGTGGCTCGTCTGCGTCGGCGCCGTCGAAGGTGAGGCACCTCCGTCTGACGGTGACTGGGTGACTCTTGAGTTTTAGGTTAAAAGATTCTCTGACAGCTCAGGAATCTTAAATTTGCAGACGATCAGCAGTTTCTAATCGGTACTTGAATCAAAGACAAAGATCAATACACCACTCATGCTGGAGTCGAATAATTCAACTTAAGAATCATGTAGTGTTTATTACTTGAAGCTTAAATAAATAGCAATTGTGTGACAGTTGCGATTTGCCTTTAGAACAAAGTTTAATGGGAAGTCGATCAACTATTTATTAACGATGGCCGTTTCTCCTTTTTCAGAGGAGCGGCGACCAGCGAAGGGACCTAACCCGTTCGAAGTGTACCTGACCAGCAGTGAACAGTGACTCTCAGTGACTCACAGTGACTCGCAGTGACTGGATAGCTCGATGAGCTCGTCGGCTTGCGTCACCGACGGCCATACCCCGTGTCATGATCTATAAAGCCGGGTCGGTTCCCTCACAGCCGGGGACTGCCTCAAATTCCGCCCTCAGTGGGAAGGAAAGTCGAGGGAAGTCCGCCTCGATCGGGCGCGCCGGCTGCCCGGACGTCCCGAGCCCCGGACAGCTTGGCTCAGCGCCAGCGGTGACCCATGCACGGAGGTGACGCCGGAAGAAGAAGCCAAAGCCCGTGTCACGTAGTAGGCCCAAGTCCCTTCCGTCGCTACACATGTTTCACGTGCCACGAGCGTGCACCACGCGATCCAGTGTAGAATGTGCTAACGGCGCGGTAACACAATCACACGTGTACCATCTGAGCGTCGGTGTTAATTTCTGAACGTCAAGTGACACAACTACCACGGATCAACAAGCTAAGCGGTGCCGGCGACCTGTTGTGCCAAACAATGGATGGAGGAAGAATCACAATTCCCGCCCTCATAGGACGAAATAGGGGCGATACGCGGCCGACTTGACAGTGCAAGCTAATTGTAATGCGCCACGACGCGGGCGTGACGCACGTGCGGAGAGGAGCGTAACGACTGTGCCTGGAAGTCGGCACGGAAGCCGGTGGTAGTAGCGTTATGACATGGCCGCCAGCACTGCGAAAACGCGGCGATTCGCATCGGCAGGACGGCTTATCGTTGTCTCAGGACTCTTGTTTTGTTTAAGCGAATATTGTATTCAGAGATGCATTTTAATGACGCGTGATCATGATTGAAGTGTATGAGATGAAGTTTTATTCGTGACTGATATTCATTCTAGCGAATGTTCGGTTCTCTACGCCATAATTGTGCCATTTTAAGTCTTTTTTTTCTCGGCTTTTGCGCCCAGACTAGAAATTACTGATTCCTTTCCGACCAGAAATCGGTCGCCGCCAATTAGCTGCCATACCGAAGGGGGCGAACTTTATCTTTACGTGAGCGTCGCAGTGCCTCTGCGCGCCCCGTTCGCGGGTGCACCAATGTGTTGTGCGTGTCCTGTGTCCTGTGTATGTGAGCGTTATTTATCTCGTATTCAGCAGGCGGCGGGCCGGTCCTATGAACCCGCCCGCCGTCCGACCGTTGTCTGCGCGGCCTGGCCCGAGCCGGTGTCTCAGAGGTGTACCTGATCCGCGCCGCGTCGTGTCGCGCGCGACGGCCGGCCGCCGGAGCAGCGCGGAGCGAGCCAGCGCGCCCAGTCCAGATCTCATCCCCGTGAGCTGGCCCCGCTGCGCCGGCGGGTCCGGCGCCGCTCCCCGGCTGGACCCCGGTGTCCGGAGAGGTCTGCGCTCCCGGCTGGACCCCGGTGTCCGGAGAGGTCTGCGCTCCCGGCAGGTGCGCCGGGCGCCTCCGTGCGTCTCTCCACTGGGAGGTGTCAGATGGTAGGAGCGCGCAGACGCCGAGTGTTTAGCCCGTTCGACTACGCGCTGCCGTTGCGCGCTGACCTGACCGTGTTTCATCCAACTCGACGGCGATATTTGTAAATATCATCCAACCATTCTGGCCGGTGTTTATCTGCTACAGATCGGCGGGTCGTCCAGCGGCGCATTGTTTAGCCAGGTTAGTGTAATGATTAGTTCAGGGTCCGGTGCCTCGGTCTGAGCATTTAAAACATCGACTGTTCGCTTTCCCAGACTTTACGACTAAGTGGCTTTCACTATCTTCTATTATTTCTGAAAATGTGTTTTTATAGTTATTTTAGCATGGGAAATGGGCGGCGTTTAAACTTGTTGAAACCCTAACACAAGAACCAAGGGGAGCACATATCGCCCTCCTTCTGTGGCCACAACCAACCAAGATGCAACTAGAGACGGAGTGCGAAATGCGGTCACACGAGACACCCGAGTAGCCCTTTCGGACCCTTCCAAATAGGGTCACCCCAGTGGTATTTAGGACCTCTATTTTTAGCCGACCGTCGCCTCCCCCCTCCCCGGTCCCTCCATCTCCGACAAACAGGGTACGCGGCGGCCGGCCGGGCGGGCGGCGCGGTCCCCTTTGACCCCTCAGGGCCCCAATCAGGGGAGCGTCGTCTGCGTGTGCGTGCCGCCTGGACCCGCGGTCCAGTGTCGGCGAGTGCGTGCAGATACGGCAGTGGGTCCGTGGCGGAGCGGCGGCCCACACGTGGTGACTGGACGCGGACAGATTGGATCAGAGAAGGGAAGTGTTAGTCTCCCCTGGACAGCGTGAATCAGTGAAGAAGCAGCGGCACCGCTGGAGAATCTGACCTCTCCAGACCACCCGTGGGACAACAATGGGCTTCCTGAAAGCGTTTGCCGCTTTTCTCCGGCGTATGCGTAAGTTATTTTGACTGTTCATGTAGTCGTGAAATATTAGAATGGGACCTCTGTAATATTGCCAGTCAGTTTGTCAGACGCACATTTGATGACCCGTTGGTTCAGGTGATATAAATCTTAATATCATTCTAAATGAAACTGGTAAATTTATAAAGAAAAATGCTTAGTACAAATAGCCCTTTCTAGCAAAATGACGTGAACCATTGGCATTTGCTGTCATCTCTGACTTATGACACAGCTTTGCCGGCCAGCTCAGTTTGCTCTGACCGTCTCCCTCGCGTTCCCGCGTGTCCGGCAGGTGGGTGGTTACGCTCGGCGCTCTGCTGCGCGGGCCCCCGCCGCCGGCGCCAGCGCTCCTCGGCGTGCCCCGCGTACACCGACCCCTCGATCCCAGTGGGAGCTGAGGACCTGACGGAGCTGCTGCCGGACGAGCTGCTACTGGAGCTGCTGGACCACCTGTCTGCGGCGGACCGGTGCCGGGCCGCAGCCACCTGCCGGCGCTGGCACCGGCTCGCCGCCGACCCGCTCGCCTGGCGGCGCTGGCACAGACGCCTTCACCTACCGCCCATGTCGGAGAGGGAGTCGCGACTCGAGTGTGTCTCACACGCGCTCTGGTGCCGGGAGCGACCGTACGTGAGTGTGAACGGTGTGACGACAGACTGTCAAGTCCCCGGAGACAGCGTGCTGCTAGACTGGAGCGCCGAGCGGGCGCTGATGCGCACCAGCTCCGGCGCGGGGGAGGTGTGGTCCACCGAGGGTCACGGCCTGCTCTGCACCCTGGCTCTGGAGGGCGAGAGCGGCTACCGCGGCTCGCTCGTGCTCTCGGCCTACATGTTCGGCGAGCGAGCGGTGACGCTCGACGGTAACATGGAGATCCGCGTGTGGTGTCTGCGCTCCCACCGGCTGATTCAGATCCTGAAGGGCCACGGCTGCCCGGTGATCTCGATGGATTTGGACGAGTACCTGGTGACGGGCGGCGCCGAGCAGCGACTCGGCGTCTGGCGCCCCGACTCGGGTCGCTGCGGCGGTCTGCTCGATGACCACGAGCCGGCGCCGCCCGTCCTGGTCCGGTGCAGCGGCCGGCGGGCCATCTCCGCGGACTGGTACGGCCGGGCGCTCATCTGGGACCTGCTCAAGGCGCGCTGCATCCGACAGATCCTCACCGGGAGGTACGCGTGCGACCGGCTCAGCTGCGCCATCATAGTCGCCCTCAACCGCACCCACGCCGTCATCGCCGAGCACACGGGCCGCGTGCACCTGCTGAACGTCGACACGGGCGCGCACATCAAGCAGCTCGTCGTCGCCGAGCGGCGGCTATTCGCTGTGGCGCTGGACGACCGCACGCTGGCGGTGGCCGGAGCCAGTGGCTCGGTCCGCCTCTGGTCGCTACAGGGCACGCCGCAGCTGCTGTTCCGCGTCTCCGTGTTCATGGCCGGCTCGTACCGTACCGTGCTCAGACAGGGCCTCCTGTTTGTCCAGAGCGACACACTGGTGCAGGTGTATGATGTGGAGCGACGGCGGCTGGTACAGACCGTCACCATGCCGCCGCTGGCCAGGCGCAAACTGAGCGTGGAGAGAAACAAGGTGATGAGCGTCACGTACCGGGGCCGCCGCAAAGAGGAGATGTGCTTTCACCTGGTGAAGGTGCACCTCGGCAGCTTTTGACCTGACCAGACGGGAGATCCCGACCCGGTGAAATGGTCTCGAGACTTGGTGAACTGATCGAGCGACATGGTGACTCGAACTAGCCATTTGGTGATGAATCGAGTTCAGAGGACAATGATTTCAGGCCTTTAGGCCAGCTCAAGAGGCAGCTTTGTCGTGAAGCAAGATGGGCGTGAACGGAACGCCATTATCTCCTCGAGAACCCGTCAATACGTTCGGAATTCTGGAAACAAACATACCTCGACCCTCGTCCCAACACTGGTATTAAGTTCCGATCAAAGGTCGGAAAACAGGAAGAGTAGATTAGATAATCCAGTAGATTAGAACACTGGAGAGTAGGTATCAGAGTACATACAATAACTTGTAAAGAATGCAAGAATCCACTACAAGTTGAATGTATAACCATCACAGGACAATGCCAGATGCACCATCACAACTCAACTGATTTTCTGACCCCTATTTGACCCGTCTTTATCGATAAAAGTGAAAGACAAGGGATCTTCATCGTGATTTGGTAGAAATAGTAATGCGCTCAATAGTAGTGTCGTGATAAGCCAGGAGCCATGTCTTTGACTGATTGACAATGACTGAAACATGCTTTCATTGCGTCAGAAAATGGCTAAAATTGAATGTTCAATGTATAACCAATGTCCATGTCTACCTACGTATTGAATACCTGTGTTTAATCCGGCATCCGGGAACATGCTTAAAGTAAAGTTAGTTATAGTACTACCAGTGAATTTTCAAGCCATGCTTTTCGTGGCATCGTCAGTGCTCGTATTTACGAGTTTTTTTATGAAAAAAAAACTTAAAGATAATACTAAACAGTGTTTTCACGTCTTTTTACACTAAGGATACAGTCTCAGGGATGAGTAATTGAGTAGGTAGTATTGTGTAGTTTTATGTGTCATTGCGATTGACTTCAATAAAAACATCGAAAGGAAATTCGAAACACAGTCATTTTGCGATAATTATCCCCAACAGCCGCTTTTATACACGGACCATGCTAATGGCGTTGATCCATGCACGTACGATGCACATGCTACCTGTATAGGGTTGGGACCTATCTGCATGCTCTGTATGTTTTGATAAAATAAAAAAGCTCAGAATTTTTAATGATTTAATTTAAAATCACTTTGCTAAAAAAATGCCTAGTTAGTTCAGAAATTAATTATTTGTGGCTGAAAACAACTTGCTTCTGATTGGTCGGGCTAATCATGACGTCACATGTAGGTATATAACTGTCTGTATATTTGGCGCAGTTGAGACATACATTTCCTATGTATTTTCCTATGGTAAATCGGAGTGATTGGTCGTGTTTTCAGTGTCTCTTTATTTTGCGCTGGTATTGCGTGGCTAAGAAGTTTTATCAAGAATGGCATATACTAAAATGTTCCTTTAATAATGGAGCTTCAATATCTGTGAGTTTTATTGGCAAGCGAAAACTGATTTCGCTGTTATTTTATCTGGAAATTACTCATTTTTTTTAGGTCAATATTCAAAATATTTTACGAGAACAAGTTGACACTTTTCTTGATTTTTGCACTCAAATCGCGTGCGATTCAACTGTATTGGAACTTGCAAAGAAGCTTGGTGATTAATTAACTGTGTTGTTATGGCACTGTTTGCAAAGCATGGATAACGAAACTCTACCAAAGACTTAGCTACATAGCAATGCCTCAAGTAATAGTAATACGCAGGAGGGACAGAATTCAGAGTCCGATCGAGAAGAATCGGTGCAAATGCTACGAAGACCAGGCAGCTCTGATACAATAGCTAGTCGTCTCACTACTCTCACTCCATTAGACCAGCTGATTCCTGACAGCACCGACTCGGATGCAAAGATGGAGCTCATCTTCCAAGCCAGAAACCAGTTCTTTGATGGAAGATGTGATGCTGCCTCTGTCTCTGCTTTGTTGGCCACTTTGGACGGGGCGGAGCTCCGCTCCTTGCGTGAGCGGTTATTCGCCTGTCATCCTATGTATCCTATGTATCCTATGTACATGTTTGTATGTCCTATGTATGTTTGTTTTAAAAACGTTGCAGCGGCGCTGGGAACTGCAGTCTTAGATCTGGGTATGTTTGACATCTGCAACTCTTCATATACACATTAACCCTATTTCGGACGGGGAGACCTTTCAGGATTTTCTTGTACAATTGCCAAACGCCGCGAGACATTCAGCTCCTATTTGGTGACTTTTCCTAAATGCTCATTGCGCACATCCCAGCAAAAAAAAAATGCCGGGTCAGGTCAGCTCAGGTAACCAGAGCGGGTTTGTTGACCCCACCTCAGAAAAGTTTGCAAACACGTCAGAGCTTGAGTTTTTCACGAAGTTATTTCCTCTCATCAAGTCTTCAAAACAGTACCTGCAGTATGCGTCGTTTGTATATCTCAGAATTTTTGATCTGTGACCTGAGGTTAGGTCAGAGTCAGGGCTGCGGAGTCGGAGTCGGAGTCGGAGTCGGAGTCGGTCGGAGTCGACAGTTGTGACCGGAGTCGGAGTCGGAGTCGGAGTCGATTTTAGAAACCCGAGCCGGAGTCGGAGTCGGAGTCACCGAAAATCTGTCGACTCCGCAGCCCTGCTAGGTCTGCGGAGTCGGAGTCGGGAGTTGGAGTCGGTCGGAGTCGACAATTCTGCCCGGAGTCGGAGTCGGAGTCGGAGCTGGTTATTGAAAGCCGGAGTCGGAGTCGGAGTCGGAGTCGCCGAAAATCCATCGACTCCGCAGCCCTGGTCAGAGTCGTGACCTTTACATTGCAAGCCTATGGAAAAGTATTGAAATGCGACCTGCACCTCGAGTAAACGAGTCAAAACCACCCAATTCTTTAAGAATTATGACAAATTATCTTATTTGTAATGATCCAAGTGCCATTTACTGACAGGGACACCGGAGAGGGTTATCTGAGCCGAGATCATGTGAGGTGATATCTACCATACATCAATGCTCACAATACTTACAATATTGACAATGCTTTTGCTTACAACACTTACAATACTTACGATGAGACCAGCAAGCACTCTGCCGTTACAGTTCTAACTTCTGCTTCGAAAAACGACGTTACACACATTCGCTGCCAGCATAACATGTATTGTTTGACAGTAACAAAATACAATTGACATCTGAACCCCAAACGGACCGCCATCCACTCAAATTTTATAACCCTGACCGGTCAGGGGGCGAATGGAGGTCATTTCCTGGGCATTACACTCAGCCCTTGCACAAAATATCTCACCTCACAGTGATCATTACAACAATAGCACCGACTTGATAGTGGATTTCAAAGTACTTGCATCAGCTCTTCCTGCTATTGCAGACGATCATCTCCTCAGGGTAATGTTGTTCGGGACATGAACGAAGATCGTTTTCGGAGTTTCATAAGTGCTACTGCAACAGCCTGGCACAAAACAGGACTTGTACGCTCTTCTCTGCACTTTGCCCTTCAGTATATCACAAAAGAATTGTTTAGAATCCATCTTACGCTTCTTTCACAGTCTCCCTTGCCACCGTAGGGCGTAGATAGATTGCTGTTGCTGGTAAGTTAAGGCACGGTAGATAGAAATTACCTCGGTTCTCAACGCCTTAAGTTATTTTCATAAAAAAGAACAAATAAATGATCAATAAGATGACAGGAATGTAAACATTTTAATCGTAAAGTAGTCCAAATATTGGAATAAGCTTTTGCTTTTCAGCATCCTCCGATTCATCATCTTTATCATTTGAAAATTCGAGGTACATAAAATGTTTATCACGCGCTCATGTTAAGTGGGAATATAGTACACGGCAGACACATCAATTTTTGACACTAAACATTTCATCCGTAAATGTTTTAGCATAATTTAAAGTTAAAAACAGCGCGAATGGCAGAGTGAAGCAAACAACATCTTTCACCCATTGATATAACATGTAATCTGTGGTGCGCCAGATGCGCCATTATTTGTCAACCGCAGAAGGTGACATGTGACGTAACAGCATCAAGAGCATCTTTTTTCAAGAACTTTTCAAAACAAGTTTCCTATCTTTCTTCCCCCATTTCTCTCAGCTTATTGATTTTATGAGGCAATGGTATGCACCATAAATTCTGTGAAAATAGTTTGATCATTTTCATGCATTCTTAAAAAAACGAGTTCCCAACCCCATTGTATGGGAAGGTATATCACGTATCGCTTTGATCTCACCCAACAGGCAAAGGACTACTCGCAATTGTTTATTCTTGGGTTAGCCTCAAACTTGCCATACAGACGCTGGAAACGATGAAAAACGACGGAGGTAAATCAACGAGACAAGCATGGCTTTATGCCTCGACGGTCAGGCTCAATTCGGGGTAAAAGGCGAATATGTTCAAGCAAGTCTTCAACTCTCATCTTGTGTCTCCAAAAATTGTACCTACATGAGCAAGGTAGTGCAGGTTATGAAAGCCCCTGGATATTCTTATCTCTCACTTCTACTCGTTATGTAAAAAGATAAGTGAAATACAACCTCTCGATAAAAACTATTGCAGTAAAGAAAGTAGAAACACAATCTCAGACCGGTTAGGTGGTAGTAAAAGAAGCCAGCGGGCAGCGACCGGGAGCCCTTTCGGAAGCTTGGCCTCAGCGCCGCCTGGCGGGAGGCTGCCATACGTCAGCTTCTCTTTTCGTCCGCCAGGCGGCGATGGCTGCGCGCCCTGCGCGGCCGGCCGGCGCCCGGCTCGTCTCTGAGGCAGGGATCGATGCGCGGCGAGTCTTCGATTGGCGCTGAGCGCACCGGGCCGCCGGCAGCACAGGTCAGCAAACATAATTAACACCGGCCCCGCCCGGCCAGTGGAGTGCATGCACCCACCTCGAGGAGGCGCCTCTACCATCAGCATTCACCTCAAGCCGCCGCAGCCGGTCGGCCGTCAGCCCGGTATTAGCGAGTTAGTGGAGCCTATTTCGGTGGAAATCGCCCGCCGGCTAGGTCGCCTATGGGCTGGGTCGACCGACGGGCGGCGGGTCGGTCGGTCGGTCGGTCGGTCGGCGGGTCGGTCGGTCGATGTCCCCAGCACCGTTCATTTCGTGCCGACGGAGGGGGTAATCGGCCGCCAGAGCTGGCCCGGGGGTGCACTGTACTTACGCCCACGACTCGAGGTATGGAACAGGTACCTAGCCGTTTGACCGATCAGAGTCCGCGAGTTTTGGCACGGACAGGCGAGGTACGGTTCCATGGTGAGCACTCCAGTACGAGCACTCAGTACGCCGTGGTAGTGCCCCCTGAGGGGAGCGGCGCCGGTGGTGGCGGTATGGATAATGATTCCGCTCGGGGAGGGGAGAGGACGCCGCGATCAGCGCAGGGAGGGGAAGACAGCGCCGCTCCCGAGCCATCCTACCCCACTCTCGGACCATCAGAGACGGGAAGAGAGCGCGCCCGGCAATGGAACCGTACCATTTGTCATGGTGCTTGTCATAGGTAGGGCGCCGTCAGCGCTCCCCAAAGAAAATTACACCCGAGCCGCACAGCTGCGAAAACGGCTAAAATCACAACCGGGAGCGTCTATTTTCCGCGGAAAAGGATGGTTTGGACGATAAATCAGCACACTAGCACTGCCAGTAGAGCGTCTGATAAATGAGCTGACCGACCACCTCCCCCAGGCGCTGTAGACATGGCTGTGAGCCGGGACCTACTGTCGGTGCCGCTGCGACTATACATCTATGGACTGCACGGCTTCTTCACGGAAGTCATCTTCACCGCCATCTGGGACTTCGTGCTCAAACAGGACTTCCGGTTCCACGGTAAGACGAGGGACGACAGACAGAACGACACAGGACGTAAGGTGCCGTGTGTCGCTGGGATGGAGGGAGGACTGGGAAGTTTCTCGCTCCAAGCTGAGAACTGTGCATTCTGGTGGAAGTGATTTCAAAAGATGTCATCCCTCATAGTTCATAACAAGGGGGCAATGTGGTAACAACGAACGCCACTCACCACTCTATACTGAATCATCAATTTGGGGAAAAGTGTAATACGTGCACCATGTCCCACTTCACCCTGCTCTGAAGTGCGCTCCCTTCCATCCCGTTCCAGGGTGTACCAGCATCTGGTCTCTGTTCATCTACGCGACCGGCGTGTTCGTCAACGAGCGACTGTTTCTGCGGATGCGGGACTCTGTGCCGATACTGGTGCGGGGCCTCGTCTACGTCCTCTGGACCTACACCTGGGAGTACAGCACCGGGCGCGTGCTGGACTTTTTCGGCGCCCGGCCGTGGGACTATACCGAGCTGCAGTACAACATCCACGGCCTGATCGCGCTCGAGTTCGCGCCGCTCTGGTACTGCGCCTGTCTGGTCAGTGAGCAGTTCCTCATCAGTCAGATCCTGCGACTGAGTTGGGGCGCCGGCGGCGACCGGCCGGCGCGGGCCGGGAAGGCGGCGCCCAGCCCGCCGGCCGCGCCGCGCAGAGAGGAGAGGAACGGATACGGACCCGGCGGGGAGAAGAGCGCAGGAGGAAGGGGAAACGGGACCAGAGGAGACGGCGGCAGGGCAGCCACCAAGGCCGGCAAACGGAGAAACGGGCAGAACGGAACCGCGAGACAGGCGGCCGCGGGCAAGGCCGGAGGACGGCAAAACGGTGCCAAAAACTGACTGTTCACTGAGTGAATACCGACAGAGCTCGGCTGGGAAAGACGACCTCTTCAACTCCTACTTCATGCAAAGTGAAGCTCAATAAGGTTAAGGAAAAGACTATTACGATGCATTATTTGATGTTGCTATGTAAGCTCATTTTTAGCTTGTTAGATGTTGATGTTGATGAGGCAAAATTTTGTAATTTGAAATGAATATGTTAATAATTATGAAGCCAACTGTAACGCATAAGTTTCATTATGTGACCTGCCGTACTCCATGGCCGAACTACACTTGGATAAAGACACGAAACGGCGAGTATCGAGTCATACGTAGGTTTAGCTCGTGGGAGCAGAGTAAGTAGATAACATGCGTTGCAACAACGCTTTGTCTAACGTCCTATAACTTCTGTCCCTTTATCAATCATAGTGCACTGTGTTCTGTGAAATTGTTACGCAGAATATCCTTCAAATTTCAGCGATTGTCGTAGCATCATCGCGCTCAATCATAGCTGTTTGTTGCACTTCAGAAGTAGGTAAGTATCTCTTACTGCCACACTAAGCCTGTACATCAACACTGACTCCCATGGTATTCGAGAGGTAGTAACTGGGGTACGCGCCATGTGGTAGAGTCATTCTTAATGTAGCGTTGAGCATGCATCGAACGAGGTCGGTCTCAAATCGAGACAGGGCAATCGAGTTCGAAACCGTTCAGCCGTTTCGAAAGGTTAGTCGTAAAATAATCCCAGACATCCAATACGTTTCTCGGTAGCGTAAAACCGTCTCTGTAGTTTCCAATCAACCTTTACAATGTCTGCAGGACATTGCCAGACCTCTATCACGGCGAGCAATTGACTCGCCACTTTCTCTTTGTGAAAACTGTACAATGTACGTCGTACGAGCATTATCATACAGCCATATAGGCCGGGCTAGCAAGGTGCCAGAAGTGTGCCAGAGTGTTCAATTCCTCCTACCCGCACATTAACAGACTCTGAACAGCCAACACGGCAAAGAGGTACCATGGGAAGTCTGTAGATTGTTCTACTGCTGCCCATTAGCGGCAGCTGACGAGCCGTGACTCCCCTTCGGTTGTCATGGCGACCGGTGCACGCAGAAGCAGACAGCCCGCACTATCAAGACCGCAGTAACCTCGCACCCGCCGTAGACAGGGTTTTATAGAGATTCAAAATAAATACATCAGTCTGTGTCTTGGTGTTTTCTGTTGTGATGAGGCGAACGGTATGATTTATGAATGACAAAAAAGACCGATCATTACTCTTGCCCGTCTATCTCAAGTAGGACTACAAGTAGAGTGAGATACCTTTTAGGTAATTGGAGACATCTAGGGAGCTCTAGGGAGTTCGACATCAAGTCATCACGAAGCATTCGACACAGGGAACTAACTAAGCCGGAGTCACACATGAGCTACTGAGCGCTGACCGGTGCACGAGTTTGGTGAGACTGAGGACCATCTTCTCACAACGCACAGGCAAACAGGAGTATGGCAATGAGCCTTTGATGGAGCTTCAGCAAAGCCTTCGCCGATATGACCAGCATGGAATCCACGCTACAGCCTTTGAATAACAGCCAAGAACTCGGGTCGAATACTAAACTGTTGGGCAGGTCCTAGAAGAGAACTGAGACCAAAGCCCTGTTTCAAGGCGCTGCGCTACAGCGCGCTGCGCGTAGCGGTGTATTGGGTTTCCATGGAAACATCAACAAACTCGGACGCTCGCAAATCTGAAGCATTGCGGCGAATTCGTCGCAAACGCCGCACCAATACTGTAGCGCACCATAGCGCCGTGCCAAGAAACAGCGTCCTGAGCGACCGAGCTGTGAGATGTCGTGACGGGGTTCCCGTCTGCTAACTTATTGATCTGGCGTCCCAGCCGGACCAGAGTCCACTGAAGCTCTGTAGGCCTGTTGAACATTGGACTAAAACCCATGTAACATGTAACATGTAGCCATATAACATCTGCGGGAACAAGACGGGAGCTCGAATCGGCAGATACAGCATCGAACTCGATGTGAGGGACGCGATTTAACCCTCGCCGGCACAGGCCATTTTGAGTCCTTCGACGGCACAAGGGGGGGGGGGGTTGGTACGACCCCCCCCCTCGCGTTTGGCCCCTGATCGAGCTAGAGCTTCGCGGAAAAAACGAGCGTGTTGCCCGTCACGAGAGGAAGCCGATGATACCCAATTTTAAGGTCCTAGGTCATCGGGTGACCTTCCAGGTCAGGTCAATGACCCGAAAACCGGGAAAATCGGGACATGTTAGAAAGTCGTAAAGTGTGGCTGCTATGAGGTTTTCCGGGGTGCTGATCACGAATATCGTGTTAGTTTTGATCAGAGATGATGTCTTTCAGCATTTAGACCAGGTCGGGTCAGGTCAGGTCAGGTCAACCGGTAGGGGTTGTGACGGGTATTCGTAATACGTGTCAACCGCCTCGGACAGCTTCGTAACATGTTACGAAGGCACCAAAACTACTTCGTAAATGTTCAAATGGTTGCTTAATTCGAATTCAGCTCCAAAAACTAGCCTAGAAACATGTAAAACTCGAAAAAGTGAACCGAGGTCACCCGAGGTCACCAAAGGTCAATGACCTGACCTGACCTTCAGGTGACCTTGACACCCACCCCAATGCATGGGAGCAACATCAAATCACATGTTTGAACGTTTGAAACCACCAAAAGCTTGCAAACGCGCGGCTAATGCGAGCCGACATGCGCCGAACCGCGATTTCGGCCAAACATGGTCACATAAAAGAGGTCAAAGGTCAAAGGTCATTGGGATCAGGGTCATGAAATTTTCAGGGTAGGTGTAAAATTGATCAATGCGAGGGTACTGAAAGTTTCGTCGCGATCGGTCGCTTTTTACGCGAGTTATTCGCGAAAAACCTTAGGGGGGGGTTGCATCAACCCCCCCCCCCTGTGCCGGCGAGGGTTAAGCGCCACGCAACGGCAACAACGATAACTAATACTTCCTCTGGTCCGTACAAAATCAGAACGTGACATTGCCACCCATAGAAATAAAGTTGTTACCGTATCGGTCTCAGACGTATCCGATGGAGGCAGGACGAGTCAGGTCCAATCTAATTGCTTGGCCAATTAAACGAAAGGAAACTTAAGTAAGTGTAGAGTACATGGGCACAATATGATTGCTTGGACACTTTGACAGAGGGAAACTAAGTGCAGAGTACTGGGTACCAAGCGGGAGTCGAAAGGAAATGCGAAGGTTCTCCTCCTTGTGAAATGTACTAACCGTGAACGATAAAAACAAAGTAGTAGTGGAATGAATATTACAAGATACAAACACTAGAACAACAGCTTTTCCCCCGGCCCATGCTTCAAACTGCGAATAAGCTAAAAGACCCACGTGGATAAGCGAAATATGAAATCTCTTCATATCGTATGCCTACATACCAGCACAGCTGCACGCACGACTGAAGAAGCACGCGTAAAGAGGTAAGCGGCAGCCCGGCTCTAACTACGAATCTACTAGCACTACTGCGTCTGTCGGTACTCACACCGGTGTGCTGTCCCGGTCGCCCCAACGAAGTCGATTACAGCGCGAGCAGCCGCGATTCGGCCACCGGCGTGGCGTGATAGATGCTGCCCTCCCGCTCCAAACGTATCAGTCACCGCTTGATGCAATGTATTGTCCACAAAATTGTAATTGTAAAGCACAAGGGTGTGCCACGGCCTGGAAACACAATCACATACATGTGTTAGGCATCAGCTGAATGTTGTGGGACTGTTCGTCATGCTTCACTTTTACATAAGACCAGTAGCGACTTTATAACTATTTAGTGGTAGCTGAAAACGAAATGTTATGCCACAAAAAGCAACACAAAATGCGTTTCTAGCAATTTAAACTTTCGTACCTGAAAATATATCGATGAAGCTCTCCATATCCAATGGCTCTCCCTGAAACAGTTTCACATCAGCGAGAAAGCGACAAGGGCATGAATGACGATGAAATTCGTCCAAATGTGGACACTGTTAGACAGGTGCGTCCTATCTTGAACGCGGCACTGTACATATACACATGGGAAACGATGCCCGCAGTCTGGCACGAAACACGCCCAGCACCATAACACTAAACACCGCGACCACCATCAGTCCTAGCGGCCGGCGACCGCACATCACACTCTCACTCACTCCGATCACGCCATATTTCCAGTCCCCAGTCCAGTCCAGTGGCACTTCCAGTCCAGTCCGACAGTCGCACAGCTCACAGCTCAGTCCGAACCCGACCCCGATCGCTGAGAAGCCGGCGAGCCGGAGCGTTTGGATGCCGCCGAGCCAGACCGAGATCCAGAGCGGGACCGCGAACGGGAACGGGATTTAGACTTAGACCTAGACCGGGACCTAGAACGAGACTTAGAGCGGGACTTGGAGCGGGACTTGGAGCGGGATCCAGACCTCGAGCGCGAGCGGGAACCGGATCCGGAGCGGGAACCCGACTTGGAACGCGACCGGCGCGACCCCGGCGAGCCAGAGCGCGACCGAGAGCGGGACTTTGAGCGGCTCACCGACCGCCGAGAGCCGGCCGAGCCCGAGCGCGAGCCGGAGCCAGAGCGCGACCGTGATCGAGAACGCGATTTGGAGCCAGACTTTGAGCGCGAGCGTGACTTGCGCGGCGAGCCGGAACGCGAGCGCGCCGGGCTTTCGTCCGAGTCGGAGACAATCTTGCCGCGTCCGCCGGCGCCGGCGTCGTCGCTGCTGCTGTCGCGGCGGCGGCGGGCCCCGCCCGAGTCGGAACTGTCCGAGTCCGAGATGGTCGCCTTGGACACCACCTTGCGACGCTGCTTCACCGTCAAGCCGTCCACGTCCTCGGTCTCGGCCTTCTTCTTCTTGCGCGCGCGTCCGCGGGGCTCGCCGTCCGATCCCGAGCCGGCCTCGCGCTTCTTGCGGCCTTTGCCCGGTTTGCGCTCCTTCTTCTCGCGCGGCTTGCGCTGCTTCTTGCCGGACGGACCGCCGCCCTGCTCGCCGCCAGAGCCGCCAGAGTCGGAGACGTAGTCGCGCCGGCCGCGGCCGCGCTTCTTGCCGCGGCTGGGCTCTGACGGGATCTCTGGGATCACGACGGCGTTCTTCATCTTCTCCTTGAACTCCTCGCGAGCGCGCATCTGCTCCTCGAGACGCTGGCGCCGCTCGGCCTCGCGCCGGCTCTGCTCCTCCTGCTGCCGCTGCAGGAACGTCTGACGCGACTCGTCCTGGCGGCGGCGCTGTTCGCGCTCCTCCTGGTCCTGTCGACGAGCGCGGGCCACGTGGTACTGCGCCTGAGACAGCAGATCCTGGCACTGGCGCGCCTCCACCTCAGCCATCGCCAGGTCGTACTTCATGCGATCGCCGTTGATGGAGAGGTACTGGAAGTACTTGTGCGCCAGGCCCAGCTCGTGCACTGCCTGCAGCACCGTCTTCAGGTTGGACTTCTCGTCCTTAAGGATCTGCATGGCGAGTCGCTGCAGCACCAGCGCCAGGTTATAGAGCAGCACCGTGTCCTGGGGCGACACACGTCGCGCCTGCAGCAGCGTCATCTTGGCCTCGCGCAGCTTGCCCGCCTTGAAGTAGGCGCGCGCCAGGTACAGCAGCACCTCCACGTTGTTGTACTTGAAGAACTTCTTCTGGCAGTTCTCGTACATCTGGATGGCGCTGACCAGCTGCTTCTGCTCCACGTACACGTGCGCGATGTTGAGCCACACGTCACAGAAGTCAGCCGTGGCCTCGCGGACCTGGGCGAAGATGTCGCGGGACTCTGAGATGTAGCCCTTGTGCGCCATGACGGCTCCCACGCCGTTGGCCGCCCAGATGTTGCGCGGGTCGTGGCGCAGCACCTCTTTGTACATGGCCAGCGCGCGCGCCTGGTTCCGCTGTAGCTTGTCTTTGTCCTTGGTGGGCACATGAAGCGTCTGTAACCAGACGTTCCCCAGCGCGATCTGCGAGTACGGATCGTGCGGCGTCGTGTTCAGGATCCTCTCGAACTTCTTCTGGCCGGGTCCCCACTCCTGCTTGGCCAAGTGGAGGTTGCCGATCAGAGACCAGGCGTCTGGGTGCTCGTTGTTGACCTGCAGAGCTTCCTTGAACCAGTCAGATGCCTCGTAAATCTGACCACGGTCGCGGGCCATGCAGCCCAGTCGCAGGTAGCAGTCCACGTAGTTGGGGTGCTCCTTCAGGATGTCCTTGTAGAGCTTCTCGGCACGGTCGTTGAGCCAGCGCACCTCGAACAGCCGCGCCAGGTTATAGGTGATCGTGATGCTGATACTGTTGTAGTACTGCGCGTCATGCTCCGACTCGCGCTTACACCGGTCCAGCGCCAGCTCGTAGTTTTTGTGCGCCGCCTCCTGGTTGCCCAGCCGGAACTGCAGCGAGGCCACGTTGTTGAGCAGCTCGGGCGGGATCTCGGCCATAACGTTGTCCTTCAGGATGCCGATGGCGTGGTTGTAGGCAGCCAGCGAGCCGTTGAGGTCAATGCCTTCCAGGATCTGGGCCAGCTCGATCCAGGCCTCGATGTCATCCGGAAACTGCTCGGTGACTTTCTTCAGGTGACCCTTCGCGATGTCACGTTTGGACTCGCTCGTCGACGTGGCGTACAACGATCCGAGGATCTTCATCGTCTCGTAGTTCCCCGGTTGCAGTTTGAGCACCTTCTCGAAGCACTGTGCGGCGTTCTCCGTATCGCCACGGTAGATGTACATCTGGCCGAGTCCGTAGTTGGGTAGCACGAAGCTCGGCGGTGCGAACTGCGTCGCCTGGTAGTAGTACTGGAACGCCTTCTCGTAGTCCGCCTGCACGTGGAACGCGCGTGCCAGCTGGTAACAGCTCTCGGCACGCATCGCATCGTTCTCCGTGTTGTAGAGCGCATAGGTGGCCAGCTGCCGCACCTTGCCGTAGTCCTTCTTGAAGAAGAAGTGGTTGGCCAGATGGTTGAGCACCATGGGGTTGGTGGGGTCGATGGTGTAGGCGCGCGACAGCATCTGCACACCACTGCGGATCGACTCCGGCTGCTTGTTGTTCAGCTCCAGAATGGCCAGTCCGACGAGCGCGCCGACACAGTTGGCGTCCAGGTCGAGAGCTCGCTCGAACGCCAGCCGCGCCTTATCGGCGTTACCCAGCTTGAGGAAGCAGTGGCCCATGCCGAGACGGACGTCAGCCGGACACTGCGGGTTCGTACGCAGCGCCTTCTTGTAGAACGCCAGCGCACCCTTGTAGTCCTTCTTGTTGAAGGCAATGCAAGCCTTGCCGAGTAGCGACGGGATGCTGTTGGGCGACTGGTTGAGCACGAAGTTGAACTGGGCGTCGGCCTGATCCATCTTGTCGCCCTCCTCCAGCAGACAGAAGTAGGCGCGGCCCAACAGGTGGTTCTGATCGTACATGATGATCTTGTCAGCCGTGGTGTACAGCAGGGTGGCCTTGGTGAACAGCTCCTTCTTGCGGTCCTTGTTCTTCTCGCTGTTGGCCTGGCGCACATAGTAGGCGGCCAGCGTGTCCAGAGCGCGCATCTGGTCCTTCTGGAAGTCGCGGTAGTTGAGGCTGGCCTCGGTGCGAGACGCCTCCAGGATCTTGACGAAGTCGGCGGCATTGTTTTGTTTGAAGTAGTGGACGGCCACGGTGACCCAGAGGTGGAGCGGCGCCTCCTCCTGGCGCAGGATGGTGAGCACCTCGTCCCCCTCTGGCAGCTGGCCGGCGTCCAGCTCGATCACCTCCTCCGGGTTGTCCCGCAGCGGGATCTCGATGGTGCCCGCTGCCGACGCCATCGCGTCTGAGAAAAACACAGCACACTTCAGTCAGGGGATTGCAACTTGTCTCTTTGTAGGTAACGTTAACAGTTATTGCACAGGTTCTGTTGTAGTATAATACTATACTGCAGATCTGAATTTGAATGTTCGAGCTAAGATTGTCATATTTTTTTCTCTCTCTAACCCTTTTCAGTGTCAGACAAAACTGTTTGGCCAGAAAACTTTATTTTTTAACATTTCCAAGCTAATTATCTACAATGATGTCACAAAATCTATTGCCATGGATTACTATCCTTCTCTAGTAACAAAATGAGCCTCTCCAGCATGGAGATTGTTACTGCAAAACAACCCAAACCTCTTGGAATTCTATTCACTATAGCTTTTGCTGTATGGTTATCAGTCTTTAACTAGGCCTGCTTTTATTACGGAGCGAGCGAAGCGAGCGTAGTCTTTCCTTAGATTAACGGAAATTTCTGAGTATGAGCGGCCGGCCGGCCGGCCGGCCGTGGTCACGCTTTTGCGAGGCTTATATCTCAGCAACCACTTGACCGATTTACACGCGGTAATTTTTGTAGGGTAGCTTCATTCCTTCTACCAAGTATTGGACTATTCCCGATGCATGTGGGTGACCCCTTATGCACGTGCCACGTGCAAAACGAAGAGGTGTCAGTTTTGTAATTGTTGCAATATCTCGGTAACTACTTGGCCGATTGCGCTGAAAGTTGGCATGTAGGTAGGCACCCACTAGGCACTGCATATACATGTGCCAGAGTTGGGGTGCTGCTGCACGTGCGCACGTGCAGGGGTCGTTTCCAGATCTCGGGAACGGCTGGACCGATTGCGCTCAAATTTGGTACACGGTTAGGGACCGGTTAGTAGGGTGCCGTGCACAAGTCAGTTGGGACCCATCTTGCACGTGCGCACGTGCAGGGTGCCGCTTCCAGATCTCGAGAACGGCTGGGCCGATTGTGCCCAAATTTGGCACATCGCTAGAGACCAGTTAGTAGGGTGCCGTGCACAAGTCAGTTGGAGGTACCCCCTCGCAATTTCGCACGTGCAAGGCCCACCCTCTCGCTCGCTCCGTTAGTCGCCCCAAAAGGCGTTATACTGGTTTAGAATCATTCATATCGTATCACTTCAATCAACAAAACAAAAATTGATTATTTGTAATAAAAGTCACTGAGTAAATATCCATCCAAGTTAAAAAGAGAAGAGACAGACAATTTTTTGGCAGCACACCTATTCCAAAAAATGCATTAAAATTTCGGGTACCTATTCCAGACTGTCCCATTTGTGCAACGATCCTGTGCGAAAACACGTGGTCTGCTAGAAAGCAAAGAAAATATTTTATATTATTTAACAAATAAGCTAAGGAAAAGGAAACGCAACTCTGAAATGTGAATCACCAAACAGTAATAGAAGTTGGGGAAACTACGAGGCGAGGATCCAAAAATTGATCATCCAATCAACAGCTGGAGTGGGCGGGGTCATGACCATATAGGGTCATAAAATCAGAAAACTTCATCTTTTCCATGCATCCTAGCATTCAAATGAAAAAATAAGGCATTAGAATGTTTTTAACCACACAAGGCCTACACTCACTCGGTGCACAATTAACTAGCGGCTCTATATGGCAGATTTACACAAGGTCAAACAGTGATTGACAAATATGGCGGATTGAAACAGACGCGCCAAAAAATGTAAGCACTATCATGGTTTTAAAATGTCATTATCTTTATCATTCTGCATGTTTTTTCCAATTGTGGTTAAATTATCATTTTAAAATTTAATACCTGTATTTATTGTAATTAAATTAAATCTTATAATAATTTTCTTTCAAAATCCCGATCCAATTATGGAATGGCCAGCTGATTGTGATGCCCAGAACCTGCAGGGAATCTATTTTTCTATAACCATTTTTGAGTGAATTCATCGAGTTTAATCGAATCTCGTTAATTCCTAGTGGAAAATGGAAGCCTTCTCTCCCCGATAAGTGGACGCGATACCGCAAGTACCAGCAGGCGGCAGGTTACACTGTTAATACCCGTAGTAGCGAGGGCTGCATTTATGCCCATTTATGGTCATCAAAAGTCTATTTATTGACCGATCCATTTTTGGATCTTCGCCTCGTAGTTTCCCCAACTGATGTCTAACAGAAATGTCTACAATTTTTGTCTAATGTCTACCAGCTTGAACGGTAAATGTCAAGTTTAAGTCCTAAGAAGATTTCATTGATAAGTTTTTCATATTTTTACATTATTTGACATCCTGAATCCAAAAATGATACTCATATGTCTCGCAAATAAAAGGAAAAAACATAATCAAACCTGACCTAACCTTACCTACTTACCTATAACCTACCAACCTACAACCTACAAACCTACCCTAACCTAACCTAACCTACAAACCTACCTACCTACAACCTAAAACCTACAAACCTACAACCTAACCTAACCTAAAACCTAAAATTTTTGCTGTTTCATATTCGTATCAAAAGCGCCACAATTGTAGTTAGGACCTAAACTTGACATATACCGCTTGAACTAGGAACACTCGACGAGACCCACCTTGACCTGTGAAGTTTGCTTTAGCTTTCAGTTTATCCCTGCTTCAAGACAGGACCCATGTTAAAATTGAATATAGGTTGAGGGCTGTCTTAGACCGAAATTCACATTAAATTCGCAAAAAAAAACGCATTGAAAAGAAACTCAAACTGGACGTTCCTAACAGCTGGACTTTTTGCACGCGTTCCCCGCCAGGGGGCGCCACTGAGGAAGCACCCTCTGACGTCACGATAAAACTGCGCGCACTGTGCGCACGGTTCTGTAAGCAAGTAATATAGTGGTGGTTTCATGGTGGAAATTGGAATAAGTATTTTGACGTTGTAAAATTTCAAGCCGTTTTTGTGAAATAAATTAGTAAATGCATTTCAAAAGTATTTATACAAAGTGTGAAACGAGAATAATTAGAAGAACATGCATATTTTTGTTCCAATAGCTTATTATGTGAGACATGATCGGTACTAACGGGTACTTCTAAGAAGTAGTGAAGAAGTACCAAACAGCCTGCTCGGCTACGATCGTCAGCTGTCCTTTGGAGCTGGACTTCAACGCTGTAAAAAAAATGTGTGCTGAATTAATTTTTAGTTTCACCAAAATATAAGCAATTCATCATTTCCTTTTCACTTTTGTAATTATTGTTGAGTGAAGAGACATGTTGCTAGTTCTGACAATATAAATTATTAATTAAAAAAAAACGAAATGCGATGGTAAGTATCTGCTACTAAATTATCACAAAAAACAAATACATAGAGAATCTTGCTACCATTGCTTATAAAACGTGCTTATCAATACACAAATGTTTTATTTCAGACAAGAAGGATTTATTTGCCTGAAGTCTTGTGTCATGTGCTACTGCTTTGATTCCAAAGACGCTCTCCGGGTCGGGGTAATTTAGTTCTTCATCGATCGATAAGAGATTTTGATTCCATTGATATCCAAATTGATAAGCTCGGCACCATGGAGTAAGGGCGTCCCCACAGGGGTGACGCAGGAAATATGAATGGCGTTTACACCGACAGTAGTTTCCCACAGCCGGCAATGGGAATCTCCTGTCGGTGTAAACGCCACTAATAGTCCCATCCAACTCAAACACTGGGGAATATCCCCGCACTTTTGAGGACGGAAATCTATGGACCTGCTCGAAAAATAGTGGATAAAATACGGCGAGCTTTCAGTTTTATGGTTTGGTCTCCCTTCCGAGGCACATATTTACGGGGGACATTGGGTCATATTCCCCCGGCGTCCTGATGATCGGCGCCCAGCTCAACGTCGAAGGCGCCCTGATGCGCGGCACTGCTATCTGTGAAGGTGCCCAGGTTGCTGCCGCTCGAATTTTGGTCGCCTACTTAACAAAACCTCCGTTGGTGCCATCTCAGTTTCCTCGAGGTCAGGCAACCTTCACACGCCGTTGGCTACCTTGGCTGGCCGGCGACTCGTTCCCCTCGTGGCGACGCTCTTGACATCCAGTCAAAAGTTGGAGTGGCTGGCGCCCCCAGTGGGGGCCGGGGAAGGGGCAGTGGGCCTCCACGTTGCTCTCTTCCCGAGCCTATGGTGACTTGGCTCAACTCTCCTCAATACAATACAATACAATACAATTTTATTAGGTCCCTCCATTACATGGGTTTTGTGGTGACCACGTCGTATACATGCGAAAACACATCTGGATAAAACACTGCAGTAAAACCGGACAGAAGTGAAACCACAGAGTAAAATACACATCTAAGACATCTTCCGGTACACTAACCAGTCGACCACACCTACTGTTGACGCGCTCCTGAGGACTCGTTCCAGTGCAGGCTGGCGCCAAACAAAAATCCACGACGGCCGAATTCGGTTCGGACCCGGGGCAGACGCAGCTGTCCCCGCTCGGTCGCACGCGTGGTGCGAGCTGACTCGTCGGAGCTGAGCACCAACTTGCTCCGCAGGATTTGTGGTGCACTGTCCGAAGTAAGTAGGCGACTAACCACAGCTACGTCACTGTCACGAATCAAATCGTCCACACACTTCCAACCCAGCTCGTTAAGCACAGGAGTCACGTGATCTCTTCGGCTGAGGCCAGACACGACACGTGCGCCGAAATTCAGCACCTTTTGGACGCGTTTCCTCTGAGCGATGCAGCAGGCACCCCATACGCTGATACAGTATTGATACAGTCAATAGAATCTGGATTCTGCACGCTGTATGAACATGGGCGTAGACACCACTACGGACAATACGGACAGTGGGTTCGACAATCAGTAGTGCCATTCATATAGAGGGTGTCATATATGAGCGGAGAGGCAACAGTACAGCTGAGCGGAGAGACAACATTAAAACAACAGTACAGCTGGCGTTGCATGGAGCTGCAGGCAACCGGACAGCGGAGGCTTGCGAAAAATAAACAATTCGTCACTTCAACGTATAAACAATAGTATAAAAAGCAACATAAACACATATTCTCATGGTCGAACCCATGCACTAGCGGCTCACGGCGGGCACAGGCACGCAGTGCGGTAGCGGTACCGGATCACACGTCATGGGCGTTGTCTCAGCATAGGTTGTTCGCAATCTAGTTGAAGCCTAAGAAGACGGCCAGTGGGGTCTCACTGCTGCTGAGGCGACCTCGGAGACGATGCGTCGCCCCTCCTGTCGGCGACCTGCGGTGAGCAGGACTCCAGATAGCTGTCTGGCACGTTGCCGACACTGCCAGACGCTGTCAGCAGGCCTCACTGCTGCAAGTGATGTGCAGATGGACGCCAGGTGACTTCGTCTGCAGGCGATTCCGGAGACCGCGGCCTCACCAGGCAGCACCACCTGCATCGCCATGTCGGTGTTTCTAGAAATGGAAAAATAACAGTATCGGTGAAGGACAAGCAATACAATGTATTCTGTCTTCCTCTCTTGCAGGTATACGTAATCTACAATTATCATTGTTCCTATTTCATTCAACTGAACCTGCAAATTCCATATTGGCACATTGTTTGACTAAATTTGTGTAGCTGGGAACAGGGGCGACGCCACGGTGCGACGACTGGAGGGGACATTGACCATTTTGGAGGGGAAGAGGACCATTTCAAGTCGATTCTTTCCATGCAACGCCATAGGCATAATGTCAAAATTTTAAAAAGTGGAGGGGACGAGATCCCCTCCGTCCCCCCCCCCTGTGGCGACGCCCTTGGTTGGGAAGCAGATTGTTTGAAATACATGTTTGGCTGAACAGTGCGGAAAATATTTCATTGATCACTATAGCTGCAACAAAAATACTGAGACAGAAAACATTTGCGCTTACCTGGCTCCTTAGTCAGTCCCGCACAACGGAAGTGGTACCATTTATCGCAGCCGTCGCATCCGACCATCGGTGCTGCACTGATGCTGCTGCACTCCCCACATTCCCAGTACCTTAGGAGCGTCTTGGCTGTGAAAAGATTACATGAGTCATGGCGCATACATGAATAGTAAGATGTTTTATATGTTTAACATCGCATAGCAAAGACACAACAGCTGGGAGTCAAGTGTAAGCAAGACTGTATCAAAACTTAACATCATTCCATTATTGCTCAAAACGCAAGCAGTTAACATCGTTATTTCGTCTCTCAAATTCTCTTGTTAAACGTCAAATTGTCTTATTAATGACCATGATGCGTGTTGTAGAGTGTAATATGACATGTGACAAATGGCAATAATAATTATTGTTTTCATCAATATAGCCAGGCAATAAGAATTGCAATAAATGACTTGTTCATCGAATACCCCGTAAACTAGTTTTACCACAAACTTCGGGTCATTGTGTGGAACAAGCCGCCCAATCAAACATTCGGACTATATTAACATAAAAAATAATCCATCACTTTGTAGCTACACGACACGACCATCACGCGTCTTGACCGAAACATGTGGACACATGTAAAGAACATGTGGCCCTTATATTGTATATATGATGAATATGTTAATAATGCAGAGAAAACACAGTATAAATTATACCCAACGTTTCTTCTTAATCGACTTTGTCAAGGGTGTTTGAACAGCTTGAGTTGAGATGAGTGAAGCGTAAGGGTACCTAGGTACATCTGAAAATAAACTGAATCTGCGTTCAATAAACATTGATTTTGATAATACATTTCACAAATTACTAAAATAGCACGACAGATAACTAACAATCCCATGAAGAACTTCTCGATTCGCCTTGACATTGTCGTCCGAACGAATGTTGTCTGAAGTTACACATTTGTCTTTTCTGCGCAGCATCTGTGTTTGCCATTTACCGCACCAATGTTCGCCAGCGGTGGTGACTTTTCCTTACCTGCTCACGAAACGTCACACACGACATGACGTCACCCGAAGACGTCATCAAAAAGTCCAGCTCTTAGGCGTGTCCCACATTTGTCTTTTCTGCGCAGCATCTGTGTTTGCCATTTACCGCACCAATGTTCGCCAGCGGTGGTGACTTTTCCTTACCTGCTCACGAAACGTCACACACGACATGACGTCACCCGAAGACGTCATCAAAAAGTCCAGCTCTTAGGCGTGTCCCTCAAACTGCGCCACGCGGCCATTTGGTATCAAAAAGTGCGTCGTTTTGGCCTAGGATACATTTCGGTAAATGTTTTTGGAGCATGAAATTTCTGTGCACAGTTAGTCTATATTTCTTCATGCTACTAAATAATGATCTACGAATATTCACTGGCTATTTTGTGGGATGTAAATTAAAAAGAAAAATTTTACACTTATATATAATAATTTACTCCAAAATATATTAGGAAAAGTGAATTCTAAAATTATTCAAAACTTTCTTATGAATAATTTTGCTTTTATAAAAGATAATTTTTACTTTATAAAGTTAGGAGTGCTACCGTGGCTGCATTCCCGGTTGGAAATGTTTACATTTCTAGCAGAAAGCTGGATGGTGAGTAGAGTGAGTTGGTGAGGTGCGTTATTATTTATTTCCATAGATATTATTGGTAAAACTTCAGTTTTTTACATTAAAGAAACACAATTTTGATGATCATTTCTCCTTCTCGATGGCCAATTACATCAAAAACAGTTTCAAAACACTTAACTTCGCACCACTTTTCATTTCGAGAGGTAAAAAATGGTGATTTTGTTCGTCGGAATTTTTACAGGTTGATTTCTGCTTCTAATAAGCTCGCTTTCCTCGTGCCGAAGGCCGTTTAGACTATAGAGAGTCACAGTCAGAGGCCTATGCCCAAGGCCCGCCTCATGCCCATTATTGCCCAATGCCCCATTGCTCAAGGCTCCATTGCCCAAGGCCCCAGCCCCCATTACCCAAGGCCCCATTGCCCAAGGCCCCATTGCCCAAGGCCCCATTGCCCAAGGCCCCATTGCCCAAGGCCCCATTGCCCAAGGCCCCATTGCCCAAGGCCCAGGGATGCGGAGCCGTGGAAATTTCAGACGGCTCCGGCTCCGGCTCCGGCTCCGGAGAAAAAAAATCGGCTCCGGCTCCGGCTCCGGGTGAAACGTCATGGCGGCTCCGGCTCCGAGTAAAATGATCCGGCTCCGGCGGCTCCGGCTCCGGCTTCTACTCAGTACATCCCCTATGCGATCAATCAAATACGGGTGGAAGAAAAAAAGGCGATGGGATTGGTACACGTTGCTTCTGTATTTGTATAACAAGGCTATTTTGAATACCACATTGTTTTACGCCTTGTACTGTCAAACCGAACTAGGTAAATAATTGTTTCCTCTTAAGAAAAGGAGCCGGAGTCGCCCGGCCCCTTTTTTGACGGCTCCGGCTCCGGCTCCGGGCTATATTATTTCACGGCTCCGGCTCCGGCTCCGGCTCCGGGCAAAATATGCCGGCTCCGGCGGCTCCGGCTCCGGCTCCGGCTCCGGCTCCGCATCCCTGCCAAGGCCCCATTGCCCAAGGCCCCATTGCCCAAGGCCCCAAGACCTCATGCCCTTTGCCCAAGGCCCCAGGGGCCATAGCCTCATGCCCAAAGCCCCAAGGCATCATGTCCAAGGCCTCATGCCAAGGGCCATCTATTTATAGTACCTAATTAGAAAAGGGCGCCAGCCAACCCGGGACGGGTCGCCAATCGAGACCGAAATCGATGGACCGGGAAGATCCGTCGGTTTTTACCTTTGCTGTTTGCTCATTGGTGTTTACTAAAGGGGAGAGGGACTTAATAATAAATACGGTATCGGTAACCCTGGCGTCACCGGTAGCGTTTGGTATGGCCCCTTTTGACTTGCAAGGGTCCTTAGAGATCAACCTGGGCTTTCAGAGCTCAGCGTAAGCGCTCAGCTAGGCGAAGGCCCTTAAAAGGCTGTCTCAAAGCCTAGATTAACCACATACCTAGGCCCGGTTGTCTTGTCGTATCGTGCTGCCGAAAAGTTCGCACCACTCCCGTATTGTCCACAGTCCACAGCTGCGGTGACCGGTCAGAGCCGTCATGAGCGAGCCCCGGGGCCGACTGGAGGCGCCGGCGGAGCGGCCCCGGCCCCGGCTGCCGCCGCTGACCGCTGCGCTCGACTCCAGCGATGACTCGGGACGGTACGCCAGCCGCGAGTACCGCAGCCGTCAGGCGACGGCGGGCCAAGCTGGAGGCCCAGCGCGCCGACCGGACCGGCGCCGGAGACTCGGCCGATAGCGCCACACTCAGGCGAGTTGCACCGGAAAACTGCAGCGTCTTTTTTAGAGTGTCAAACTTACTTCCATGCATTTGGTGCGTATTGTGTTGTGTGTATAAATGGCGTCCCTAAATCTATGTATCTAACAGTATAGAGCAGTGAGGCTCACAGGCTATTTGCGCTGTTTGAGTTTCGATCCGTTTTTATTCTATCGTCATAGAAGTATTCATTTGACCTTGCCGAGTTTATGCCAGGTCCCACGGTGCGCCGGATGACTCGGCTGCCGGCGACACCACCTACCGGCGTGAGACCTCCTTCGACGCCAGCTACCGGCGCGAGCCGTCTGCCGACCCCAGCGGCCACCGACGCGACCTGTCGGGCGACCTCAGCTACCGACGCGACCTCTCCGGCGACCTCAGCTACCGGCGCGAGCTGTCGGGCGACTCGTCCCGTCGCGAGGGGGCGCTGGAGCTGGCCTCCGAGCCGGCTGAGATGTCAATCACTGACGAGCTCTCTAGATTAGGTGAGGAGGTGCGCTCGGGCAGCGAGGCCGGCGGTGACCTGCCGCCCAGCTTACTGCCAGAGCACGTCCCCCAGCCGGCCGTCACCAAACTCTACATCGAGAAGGGCAGCCGGTTCCACGCGGCCAAACGGCAGACGGCGACACGCTCCGCCGGCGCGGCCTACTCCAAGAAGTCTCAGGCGCGCGCCGTGGACCTGGCGCTGCAAACACAGCGACTGTTTGCGCCGCTCGGCCGTCTGTGTTTCGGCCTGCTGGCGGGTCTGACGCTGGCGCACCTGATGTTCGTGGCGGCGCTGACCAGGGACGGCGGCCGTCCTCTCGACTTTGTGTCGCACTACTCGCCCCTGGCGCTGCCGTTCCGTGCGGTGTTCTTCACGATGTCCGTGGTGTGTTGTGTGGCCGCGCTGGACCGGTACGACGTCAGCCGCGCCTCGGCCGCCCGGCTGCGGCGCTCGCTGACGCTGCAGGACGGCGGCGTCACCGTGCTGCTGTACCTGGCCGTGCTGGCCGTCTCCACCTGCCTGGCGCCTACCGACGACCGGCTGCACCTGTACCGCCGGAACGGCACCGCAGGCCTCTGGGAGTCGACCGTGGCCGTGCGCGGCGACTGCCGGCTCATGGTGGTGCTGTGCGCCGTGCGGGCCGGCCTGGCGCTGCTCGCCTGGCTGGTGGTGGCCGCCAACCCGGCGCTGGACAGGGTGCTGCAGCACCTGCGTCAGCTCAGCGCCGCCGGCAGGGCAGCGGAGCCACCGGCGGAGCGCGGTGCGCAGAGGCCGGCCGGCGTGGCCACCATCTCGTGAGAACAGCTGTGCGATGATTGGAGAGACGGATAGTCGCAATCACACTCCCCTTACAGCTGGAACACAGCTTTCAGGCGTGCAAATCGCGCCTCGCTCCTCCCATTGGAATAAATGGCATAGTTTTCGCTCTCAACACGCACAGGACAAGCTGTGAAGGGAGACGCGACTTGCACGCATGAGAGCTGTCAGATCCAGCTGACTATGAGCATTGCTTATTGCACGAATCGCTTATTATCGGCAGAACAGAATTGCGGCCAGTAGGGCATCGACGTGTTGACTGAGCCATGCTCTCCTGTCTCGCGAGACATTTTGTGTTGCCATTGCATGCGTGACAGCTGCGATCATCAGGGGTGAAAGGAAACACGTGATCTCAATTCATCTTTTGACATTCATCCATGTTGCAAGCTTACCAAGTCTTGCCGATGCTTTGCAGAAGCTTTTTACAAGCGCTTGGATACGCATTGCAGTTTGTATTGCGCTGTGTTCTTCAGTGTAGTGTAGTGGTAATTTGAACACGTCTCATCAGGCTGACTAAATCGGCCTTAGCAAATTAACAAAAGCAATCGGTAACAAATTAACAATCGATAGCAAATTAACAATTAATCGGTATAGGAGCTCAGTATTACAATTTCCAAATGTGCTTGTGCTTGTGTATTGAGTGCTGTCTGCTTTTGCGCATCGCTTACTGCAAAAGGAACAAGTGTGACATTCCCAACAATTGTTTTTCCTCATGATGAAATACACAATCCTGTGAAGTTGAAAAACGTCTGTCGCGCTAAGTAATATGTTTCACAGTGACATGTTTTACATACCTAGATATACTTATCGGCCGTAAAATCGCGACAAGTGTGACAAGCAAAAAAAAAACTACTCGCGCGAATAAATCGGCGCGGAGTTAACGTTGGACGTGACGGATTAAGGTCGAAGACACCTTCGAGGTTTGACCTCGAAGGTGTGCGATTGCAGTTTCCATTTAGCGGGGTGGGAGGGGATCCTATCGAATCGATGTACCCTGACGGCATCCCTGACTGATCAGCAGACCACTTCCATCGCATATAACGTTAGTCGTTAGTCGGTCCATTTACGCTTCAGTACGAGCCAGCTGAGCATGTTATAGTGAGATAGTTGCGCCTTCCGGCAGTCATAACTCTGGTGCTATGTGCATTGTGCAATGGACCACGCAATGGACATTATCGGCTTGGACGGGATGCGTCCGCGGGGCCGCCAAGCCTTGCGGCACAGCATGCGTCAGGCGCTAAACGCTAGCGACATCTATTGGATGAATGGTGAAGTGGTGAAATGTCATGCGGCGCAGCATGCATCAGGCGCCATGCGCTAGCGACATCTGCTGGCTACGGGTGAGACAACGTCATGCGGTACAGCATGCATTAGGCGCCATGCGCTAGCGACATCTGTCGACTGAAAAATTAAACAGCATGCGGCACAGCATGCACCAGGCGCTCGGCGCTAGCGGCATCTATCGGCTGAAAAATGAAACGGTCGGCGGCACAGCATGCATCGGACGTTATGCGCGAGCGACATCTATCGACTGAAGTGTGAAACTGTATGTCATGCGGCACAGCATGCATCAGGCGCTCGGCGCTAGCGACATCAATTGGCTGAAGGATGCCAATGTAAGTATGTCATATGCGGTACAGCATCGAGTAGGGTCTATGCGTCACAGACATCATTTCAAACTACAGGCTCGATTGAGAAACGTCAAGGTGACACCAAGACGTCCACACAACATCGAACATTGCAAGACCCGATAGGTAGTCTCTTTTCTTGTAGTTCACATTTTTTGAACTAGGCAAAAGTCACAGCCAAAGCTTGCACTAAGCAGAACTTATTGCGCAGAAGTCGGTCAACACTCACCACCCATGGCCTAAGACTTAGAAATATAGGTTATCGAGAAAACTTGCATAGAAATCAAAGTTCTGCGTCCTCGACCGTGTAGCCCGAATTGCATTGGGTTTCAGGCAAAATGATAAAGGATTTGTGCGTCCTAAGCTGAGAATTGAACGGAAGGAACGAAGGAGACAGGAGCTTACAAGTTAGAACTACATGCCTATGCCGTTTCATATATAAATCACCAGCGGGGGATTAGGTAGGTATTTGCACTGGGGCTGCAGGACAGCGCCTACGAGTGCACCGTCGCCCCATAGCCCCCTGGCGATTCTGTCGGTACCCTCTGTTATGGTGGACGCTTCGTAGGTGGCGCTTTCAGGCAGTTCGTAGCCTGTGCTTATATTTCTCTTTCACCTTTCTCTGCCCTATTCAAACAGAATATGTGTCAACCAACCATCCCTCGAACCATCTAGTCTATTCTAGACGCACAAATTCTTCTAAAAAGTGTAACAACCTACCACGGCACCATCACTCATACGAGTAGCTCCTCCGGAGCATGCTCACGTGCAGTGAGGTGACCGTTTGCAAGACAGGGTGACCTGTCTCTTAGCCGAGTGACCTGGACGAGCTCGACCACAGCGGTGCACTATGGCATTGCTCTATCAGACGACAGGGGTCAGCACCCGCGCAACTAGCTCCGCTTAGCGTGCGCTTCATAGGCGGCGGAACGGGGAGGGCACCAGGGCACCGTGCACCCCCCCCTTTGATTTTGGCATTTTAACATTAGCCCTATAGGCGTTGCATGGAAAGAATGGGACCAAAAGTCGGCAGTGCGCCCCCCCCCCCCTAAATTGAAGGTGTTCCACCGCTACTGGTGCCTTTCAGCTCTGCCAATCCGTGCATTCAAGCACTAGAGGTACCTACAGGTGTACAGGTTTAGGTATACAGAAGTCTATGATTAGAGTAATTCTATATACGTGTAACAATTGTGCTCGGCAGCTCCAACGGTGAAAGAAATTTTCGCGATGTCTGTTGGAGCGGCTCGGGCTAGGTAGCCTGTACCTACCACAGAGAACTTCCGTTCCAATGGAATGGGCTCATCATCTGCTGTATACCGCAAAACAGACGGTGGTCGGTCCCGAAGTCAGTCCAATGTCTGTACCATAACCCCCCCAAAAGGAAGAATATATATCACGCCTGTGATTGTGACTGTGAGGCGTATTGCGTCGTGCCCAGCATTTTCGACTGACACGGGTTCATCTGTATTCTGACCGTCTTACGATTGCAAACATGTTCCAATGGAATGCTCGCAACGAAGTTAGCTACAATTATGCTCGATGAACACGCAAATTGCATGTATATGTGCGATGCCCATGTATGTGTTTTGATTCTGAGTAATAGCGAGACCTATTTTTAGTGTTATGATGAACTATGTGCAGGGATAATGCATGTTTCCCGGAGAAATACTAATAAGGCTGGGGGGATCCAGAGCGTCGTAAGCCTCGTCGCAGCTGCGACGTGTCGCAAGTTGTGTAGTAAGTCGTTTTTGGAGGGATCAATTGATGAGTAGCGTTACTTAAGAAGTAAAGTCTATCGCAAAGTGCCTGATTTACGACACAACTTACGAATTTGAAATAGCAGTCGTAAGTTGTGTCGCAAGTTGATATGGCCTTGAGGGAGAGGTCACAGGTCACAGGTCATTGGGGTCATGGTCACGAAATTTGCATGGTACGTGGAAAATTGTTGAACCTTGAGATCCTGAAAATTTCGTTGCAATCCGTTGCCGCTAACGCGAGTTATAAAGCAAGAACCAACGGTTCGTCTATGAGGCCTCAATCCGCGCCAGCGAGAGTGTTGAACATGGTGCATAATATGTTATATTCACGTTTATTGGGGTATTCATGGATATGAAGTAGTCTAACACCATTCCAGCAACTACTGGCGAATCCAGAAAGGCGGTCTTGGACGTTGCGAGGGGCATCCCCCAAAAGATTCTCCAAATTCTAAAAACGATGTGTCCCAGATGACCCCCATGACCTCGAATTGATCTCTGTGATGACCCCAAGTTGACCTCTGTGACCTGACGTGTCCCAGATGACCTCCAATTGAGCTTTGTGATGACCCCAAGTTGCCTGACGTGTCCCAGATGACCTCCGTGACCTCCAATAGAGCTCTGTGATGACCCCAAGTTGACCTCTGTGACCTGACGTGTACCTTGATGACCCCCATGACCTCCAATAGAGCTCTGTGATGACCCCAAGTTGACCTCTGTTACCTGAAGTGTCCCAGATGACCTCCGTGACCTCCAATTGAGCTCTCTGATGACTCCAAGCTGACCTCTGTGACCTGATGTGTCCCAGATGACCTTCAATTGAGTTCTGTGATGACCCCAAGTAGACCTCTGTAGCCTGACGTGTCACAGATGACCTGCGTGATCTCCAATAGAGCTCTGTGGTGACCCCAAGTTGACCTCTGTGACCTGACGTGTCCCAGATGACCTCCAATTGAGCTCTGTGATGACCCCAAGTTGACCTCTATAACCTGACGTGTCCCAGATGACCTCCGTGACCTCCAATTGAGCTCTGTGATGATCTCAAATTGACCTCTGTGACCTGACGTGTCCCATATGACCTCTGTAACCTCTAAGTAACCCCTCTGATGACTCCAAGCTGACCTATCTGACCTGATGTGCCCCAGATAACCGCCATGACCTTCAATTGGGCTCTGTGATGACCCCAAGTTGACCTCTGTGACTTGACGTGTCCCAGATGACCTCCGTGACCTCCAATTGAGCTCTTTGATGACCTCAAGCTGACCTCTGTGACCTGGCGTGTCCCAGATGACCCCATATTGAGCTCTGTGATGACCCCGAGTTGACCTCTGTAACCTGACCTGCCCCCAAGTTGCCTTCTGTGACCTGACGTGTCTCAGATTACTTCCGTGGTCTCCAATTGAGCTCTGTGATGACCCCAAGTTGACCTCCGTGTCCTGAAGTGTCCCAGATGACCTCTGTAACATCCAATTGTGACCTCAATCTCCAACTCTACTAACTCTCTGTGACCTCATACTCTCTTAACTCATTTCTTCTAAAGCATCGCTTCTAGATGCCCTATAGCGCCACGAATCTCCTGTGATCGATCCCAAAATTCATGGCAACTCACGTGAGCGTTAGCAACCACAAGTCACCCAGTTGAGACAAAGCTTCAGAATCAGAGAACATGCTTGAACTGGCTGTCTCATAAGCTCGCAAACCAGAAGGGCGAATGTTCCTTTATGCTTGATAGAGTTTTCGACCTTACTGACGCTTACTACGGGATCAGCTGATCGTGTAGCCTTTTAAATTCTCGAGTAAAGCGGGTATTTAAACCTTGTCGCAGCTACGTTCTGTCGTATCCTCCGACAAACCCCTCTTTCCTCAACATCCCTCCTTTTTCGCTACGACACAACTTGCGACGGGACATGTGTCGTAACTTGCGACGTGTCGTAGATGGACTTGCGACGCCCTGGATCCCCCCGGCCTAAGCGCAGCAGAACTCAGGACGGTGTTGACACGGGGTTCCATGTGCAGCACGACCGGCTTGAATTCTGGACCTGAGGCGGTACATAGAGAAGAAAGGATAATGAGCCTAAGTATCAAAATAAGAATGACATAACATGGTAAAAACGATGAGCATAGTTTTTTTTTGCAGAAAAAAAAAATAGTTGCGTCTAATTTGCACTAGTAACGTCACATGAACAAAAACAACCTTAAAGTGACCGAAGTCCGTGGCCACTGCATTTCACAAACGCTCTTTTATCCAGCCTCCACACACAACACAGGCCACGTTACATCCAGTGCCGCCGGTTGTCGTCCTTACCTCTCCCCCTCCCCTGCGGGGCTGCGCGCCCGCCGCCGCCGGCCGGCGTGACTCCGTCC